TTCCAGCCCAGGATGATTGGACTACATTCCACAGTTCTTCTCTATTTCTTGGTTTTGCCTCAGAAACTGCATTTTTGATGTCACCCCACAAGTTTTCTATTGGATGAAGATCCGGGGATTGGGCTGGCCACTCCATAACGTCAATCTTGTTGGTCTGGAACCAAGATGTTGCACTTTACTGGTGTGTTTGGGGTCGTTGTCCTGTTGGAACACCCATTTCAAGGGCAATTCCTCTTCAGCATAAGGCAGCATGACCTCTTCAAGTATTCTGATGTATTCAAACTGATCCATGATCCCTGGTATGCGATAAATAGGCCCAACACTGCAGTATGAGAAACATCCCCATATCATGATGCTTGCACCACCATGCTTCACTGTCTTCACAGTATACTGTGGCTTGAATTCAGTGTTTGGGGGTCGTCTGACAAACTGTCTCCGGCCACTAGACCCAAAAAGAACAATCTTACTTTCATCAATCCCCCAAATGTTGCGCCATTTCTCTTTAGGCTAGTCAATGTGCTCTTTGGCAAATTGTAACCTCTTCAGCACATGTCTTTTCAACAGTGGGACTTTGCGGGGGCTTCTTGCAGATAGCTTGGCTTCACATAGGCGTCTTCTAATTGTAACAGTACTCACAGGGAACTTTACACCTTCTTTGATCTTCCTGGAGCTGATTGTTGGCTGAGTGAGTCCTTGCCATTTTGGCTATTCTTCTATCCATTCAAATGGTAGTTTTTCGCTTTCTTCCACGTCTTTCAGGTTTTGGTTGCCATTTTAAAGCATTTGCGATCATTTTAGCTGGGCAGCCTATCATTTTCTGCACTCCTTTATATGTTTTCCCCTCTCCAACTTTTTAATCAAGGTACGCTGTTCTTCTGAACAATGTCTGGAACGACCCATTTTCCTCAGAATTTCAGAGAGAAATGCACTGTAACCAGCATGTACAACATTTGCTGCCTTCCTTCCTTAAATAAGGGCAATAATTGCCACCTGTTTTTCAAAGAATGAATGACCTCACTAATAGAACTCCACACTGCTATTATTTTGAACATGCCCCTTTCAAATAGTGATTCAATTACACAGAATCAGCAGCATGCATGTCATGACTGTTGGGTCTGTTGGATTTTTATTACTCTACTACACCTGCTAGTAAATTATTTGCCATGTAGAAATATCATTTCTACCAAAAACAGTGATTGATCAGGTTAGTGATGTCTGACTGCTATTATTTTGAACACAACTGTATGTGCGAGTGGTGCCGCTGCGGATCAGCACGAAAATCCGAGCAGCCACACCACCCGCACAGAGGAATGCAGTCCCGTGGGCGGATGCCATTAGTTCTAATGGCACGCCGGCTGTACTGGAACCTGCAACCATACTGGGATCTGAGGTTCCCGTGTGGGCTGCGTTTTCAGAAGTAGTTCAGGGACTTCTTCCCTATGTGTCACGGGGCACAGGAGTCCATTCAAATGAATGGGCTCTCGTACCCATGCAAAACGTGGCCCGCACGGCCGCATATATGTGAACCGAGGGTTAAGGGACACCATTGGAATACCTTGCAAGGTTGCTTTAACCCTTTTATTTGCTATAAATGAACCAGAGAAGTTACAAATGAGAAACAATAATGTTGTTTCATTATAACTCCTCTTGATACAGCAGGCGCCGAGTGTCAGGTAACAACAGAAAAGCACCTTTCATGCAGGCGCCCTTCACTTCATCTCAGCTGGGCTGATTTGCCAATGTGGATCAGAATGCAAACAGATGTCCTGTGTCCATTCTGACTTTTCCTGCATCTTGTGAACTATTTCGTTCTATCTGGACACCATGGTGAATGTTTGACACCTGCAAACTTCTAACTGCAGCCACTGAGCCTGTACAGTACACTGTTATGACAAGTTTCCGGTGGCCGTAACTTTTCATTCCTGTTCACATAACCGGCGATTACCTGTGGTGATCGCTGCTAAATGCACACAAAGTGAGTGTTCAGCAGCCACCATTGTGGGTAATTACTGAATGTGTGAACAGCCACGAATAGCTGCAGCACCCAGTAACTTGCCATAGTGTACTGTACAGGCTTGGTGGCTGCAACTAACTACTCGCTGGTGTCAAAAACAGCAGCAGGAATCAGCAAATTTGCACCGTGGCTAAATGCCCCTGCGAATGTAGCCTAAATTAGTAGTTCCCAATAGCGGTTATGTCAGAAAAGCCTTTAAAACCCTTCTCCCTCCACATTAAATCCTTTGCTTTGTTACGAACATAGAAAAATGACAGCGGAAAAAAACCAAGTGGTCCATCAAGTCTGCTCTTTTTTTTTGGTTTGTTTTATTCGGGGAGAAGGAAGGGGGGGGGGGGTCTTTTTTAATTTGTTTTTCTTGTTTGTGGGGGGAGGGGGTTGTTAACTTTTTCTGTCTGAGTATGGATCTAAGCTTCTTCCAAGCATGTTTGAAGCTATTTACTGTTGACTGGCTCACTACCTCTGCTGGATGTTTATTCCAAGCATTAACTACTCTTTCACTAAAATAGTACTTTCTGAGATTAGTTTTGAAGTTCCCTCCAGTTACTTTGAGGTCATGCCCCCGTGTTCTTGATTTTGGTTTCATACTGAAAATACTGCCCTCCTGAACCTATTCACCCCCTTGATGTATTTAAAGGTTTCAATCATGTCTACCCTTTCCCTTCTTTCCTCCAGACATGTTAAGTTCCTGAAGTCGCTCTTGAAATGTTTTATCCCCCCGACCTTTCACCATTTTTGTTACCCGTCTCTGGACTCGTTCTATCTTATCAATATCTTTTTGTAAGTGAGGTCTCCAGAACTGGACACAGATTCTAAATGAGGTCTAACTAAAGAACTATATAGGGGAATCAGGACCTCCTCCCTCCTGCTGGTGACCCCTCTAGTGATAGAAAGATCTATATAGGGGAATCAGGACCTCCTTCCTCCTGCTGGTGACCCCTCTAGTGATAGAAAGATCTATATATGGAAATCAGGACCTCCTTCCTCCTGCTGGTGACCCCTCTAGTGATATATAGATCTATATAGGGAATCAGGACCTCCTTCCTCCTGCTGGTGACCCCTCTAGTGATAGAAAGATCTATATATAAGGGAATCAGGACCTCCTTCCTCCTGCTGGTGACCCCTCTAGTGATAGAAAGATCTATATAGGGGAATCATGACCTCCTTCCTCCTGCTGGTGACCCCTCTAGTGATATAAAGATCTATATAGGGGAATCAGGACCTCCTTCCTCCTGCTGGTGACCCCTCTAGTGATAATATAGATCTATATAGGGGAATCAGGACCTCCTTCCTCCTGCTGGTGACCCATATAGTGATGCATCTTAGAATTCTATTCACTTTCCCCACTGCCTGGCCACAATGTTTGCTCATTTTGCAATCATCAGAAATAAGTATCCCTAAGTCCTTTCCCTCTAAAGTGCTGGCCAACACTGTACCCCCAATGTTGTACTCTCTCAAGGGATTCCTTTTCCCTAGTGCATTATTTTACATTTAGAAACATTGATCTGCAATTTATTTTTTTTACAACCCAGATACTCATAAAAGATTGCTGTGGAAGGGGTTAATAGCCATTTAAAGATAAACCTCTCTGATTATATCCCCTCCAAGCTGAGCCAGATGCATAGATGCTGAGGGAAATGTTCGGAGGGAGGGCAGGTACATCGATAGTAAAAGCCAGGCCATGAGCCGGCTTAGGCTAAAAGAGTGCTGTACCACAGATGTAAAAAACTGAATATAATTAACCTTTCACAGCAGCCTGGGGAATCTGACTTGACATAGCTTCGGCACTACAGGAACTGACATCAGTGGGAATAGAGGTGGGAGGGCACCAACCGCGCTGCTTCTTCTGTATGCAGCCACTGGCCAGCTTTATTGTTTATGAGGTGGGTCTCCCAGGACTTCCTTGGGTGCGATCTTGTGCCACCTCTCGCACTAGTGCCGGGGGTTGCCTACCCCTGGCCTAGGGACCTTCATGAACAACAGGTTTAACTAAGGGCCCAAGCAGGGGCACAGGTGACACAATACTAAGGGGCAAACATAGCAACAAAGTAGATCTGAGTGGTATAAAATGTGCATTTTGGCAGAGCAGGCCAGGTATAGAAATTAAAACAATCAAAAAACCAACGTCAAAGAAAAGACTAACCAAAAGTGTAACCCTAGTGGGCTGCACTGGCCCAGGGTGAGCATTGTATCAAATGGCCATAAATCAAAGCCTTAACAGGGAGACAAAAGGAGGAGAAGGAGCAAATGGATTGATGTGGCACTTCGGTCATAGGTCCCTGTATCATCAGTGGTATATGGGTAGAGGAGGAGATACAACAGAGTGTCTGAAGTGATGGGTAAAAAGATTTTTTTTTTCATCAACACATACACACATCAACTTCACAGACAACAGGTGTACTTGCTGCCTATTGTATCCCACCAATTTTCGGATGCCATTGTAATGAGACAATCAATCTCTACATTTAACCTGTCAGTGGTAATAAAGTTATGGCTGATTGGTGTAAATACAGCTTTTGTTGCAGTATTCACTCTCAATTTAGAGATCTCCCCCTCAATACCATTTTTCCCACCACAAGATGCCCGTAGTCTTATTGCTAACATCATTCAACTCATTTTCGCTAGCCTTAGGTGGTCTCATCCCAGTTTGTGACTGGACAGTGATAGAAGTAGCAGCATAGTGATAGCGTCATCTTTCTCCTGTTATCAGCATGATTCCTGTCATCGCATGAACCGATCGGTTCTCTGTGCTGCTTTTTCCCCTCTCACTGCAGAAGAATGAATACCAGGTAAAAACAAAGTATGTACACTGCTTGTATTTAAAGATACGTTTAACAATGTATTAAAGATTACAGAACTGTAACAAATTGTCTCTTTTATATCTGTAGAAGGCTAAGGTTTATGACCACTTCTGTGCTCTAGCAAACATGACTGATCTCCATCAATGGATTTATAATATTTTCAAATTAATGTCAAGGAGTTTTACCTCTGGATTCTGCTTCTCTCTTGTCATTATGAGGAGACATTCTTTAATCAAAATATCCTTCTTTGAATAGCCGATCAAGGAGATATCTGAAAAAGCATTACATCATTAAAAGGATCATTTATATCCACTGTATATGCCTTCATATCATGCTGGAGACGTTTGCAGTACATAAAGTGGGGCCTACCTCTCAAAAAAAAAAGACCCTTTAACCACTTGGAGGCCAAGCCTTTTCTGACAATTTTGTTTACATGTAAAAAAATCTTTTTTTTTTTTTTTTTGCTAGAAAATTAGTTAGCACCCCAAAACGTTATTTTTATTTTAAAACAGAGGCCCTAGTGAATAAATTGGTGGGTGTTGCAATTTTTTTATGTCGCACGTATTTGCGCAGCATTTTTTTTTTTACTTTTACTGCACAAAAACACAAAATAATACCCAATCATTTGGTAAAATTTAAAAGACGATGTTATGCTGAGTAAATAACATGTCACAGTTTAAAATTGCACACACCCTTGCACCGGCGACCTATCCATAGGTGACATAGGTGACAAATTAAAAGCCTTTACAGTTTATCACTTTAGATCTACACAGGAGGTATAATGCTAGAATTACTGCCCTCAATCGGATGTTCATGGTGATACCTCACACATGTGGGACAATCACTGTTTGCATGCAAGTTTGTTTTGCGTTTGTCTTTGAGTGTGGGCATGTGGGGAGCGGTAACATTTTTTACACTGTCACTACATTTTTTTTTTAAAAAATCACTTTTATTGTTATCACAGGGAATATAAATACCCCCTGTGATAGCAATAGGCAGTGACAGGTACTCTTTATGGAGAGATCTGGGGTCCCCTAAAGATCTGCCCCTAAAAGCATCTGATCACACCAAGATCGGTGTGATCAGATACTTTCCTGATTTAAAAACCGGAAGTGGTGTATACTTATAGCTTCCGGTTTTCTATATCATAGAGGCTGTCAAAGCTGTTCCATCTCCGATTGCCTTGGGCGGGGGGGGGGGGGGAGGGGGGGGGAGGAAGAGGGGGAGGGGGGGGGGGCCACAAGGATGAGAGCTAATTTTCCAAGGCTGAGAGCTGCTCTCCAAGACTTAGACTGGGAGGGAATATTGGCATCGAAGAACACAAGACAGAAATGGGAGTTCTTCAAAAAGACTGTATGTGAACACACTGCAAAATATATTCCCGTAGGCAACACGTTTAAAAGGCTAAAAATCAAACCTATGTGGCTTACGGCCAAAGGTAAAAGAAGCTATAGATAATAAAAGAGCTTTTGTTAAATATACAAATGAAGGAACGCTATCATCGTTTAAACATTACAAAGAATGTAACAGAATATGCAAAAAGGAAATAAAGGTGCAAAAATTGAAACAAATGAAAGATTGCAAAAGGTAGCAGGACAAACCCCCAAAAAGTCTTCAAATATATTAATAGTAAAAAGGTTCGGTCCGAGCATGTAGGACTTTTACAAAATAATCTAGAGTGGGTGACTGGGGACAAAGAGAAGGCTAATTTATTAAATACCTTTTTCAGTTTTGTGTATACAAAGGGCATGGTATTGACACAGCCCCAGATATTGGCATAAGGTCAATGTGGTGCCTACAGTTAGGTCCATATATATTTGGAACACAGGCACAATTTTAGATGTTTTCAGGTATTTACCAAAACATATTCAAGCTATAGTTATATAATGGATATGAGCTGAAAGTGCACACTCAGGTTTAATTTGAGGGTATGTACATCCAAATTGGAGGAAGGGTTTGGGAATTACAGCTCTTAAGAGTAGCCATCCCCCTTTTTCAAGGGACCAAAAGTAATTGGACAATTGAATATAATCATAAATAACATTTTCAATTTTAATATTTTGTTGACAATCCTTTACTGTCAATGACTTCCTGAAGTCTGGAACCCATGGACATTACCAAAGACAGGGCTTCCTCCGTTCTGATGCTTTGCCAGGCTCTAACTGCAGCTGTCTTCAGTTGTTCTTTGTTTGTGGGTCTTTCTGCCTTTAGTTTTGCCTTCAGCCAGTGAAATGCATGATCAATTAAGTTGAGATCAGGTGATTGACTCGGCCATTGCAGAATATTCCGCTTCTTTTCCTTCAAAAGCTCCTGGGTTGATTTGCAGTGTGTTTTGGATCATTGTTTATCTGTACTGTGAAGCGCCGTCCAATTAACTTTGCTGCATTTGGCTAAATCTGGGCTGACAGTATATCTGTAAACACTGCAGAATTCATCCGGCTGCTTCTGTCTTCTGTCACATCATCAATAAACACCAATGACCCAGTGCCACTGGAAGCCATGCATGCCCATGCCATCACACTGCCTCCACCATGTTTTACAGATGATGTTGTGTGCTTTGAATCATGAGCTGTTCCAAGCCTTCTCCACACTTTTATTCTTGTCATTCTGGTACAGATTAACCTTAGTTTCATCCATCCAAAGAATGCTTTTCCAGAACTGGTCTGGCTTTTATAGATGTTTTTTGGCAAAGTCTAATCTGGCTTTTCTATTATTCAGGCTTATGAATGGTTTGCACCTTGTGGTGAACCCTCTGTATTTGCTCTTGTGAAGTCTTCTCTTGATTGTAGACTTTGACAATGATACGCCCACCTCCTGGAGAGTGTCCTTCACTTGTCTGGATGTTGTGAATGGGTTTTCTTTACCACAGAGAGGATCCTGCGATCATCCACCACTGTTGTCTTCCATGGACATCCATTCCTTTTTATGTTCTGAGCTCACCAGTGCGTTCTTCTTTCCTCAGAATGTGCCAATTGATTTGGCCACTCCTAATGTTATTGCTATCTCTCTGATGGATTTGTTTAGTTTTTGAAGCCTTACAATGGCCTGTTTTACTTGCATGGACAGCTCCTTTGAATGCATGATGTAGGTTCACAGCAATAGATTCCAAATGCAAATACCACACTTAGAATCAACTACAGACCTTTTACCTGCTTAATTGATGAAGAAATAATGGAGTAGCCCACACCTGGCCATGAAAGAGCTTTTGATTTAATTGTCCAATTACTTTTGGTCCCTTGAAAAAGGGGGTTGGCTACTCTTAAGAGCTGTAATTCCTAAACCCTTCCTCCAATTTCGATGTACATACCCTCAAATTAAACCTGAGAGTGTGCACTTTCAGCCCATATGCATTATATAACTATAGCTGGAATATAGAAAATACTAAATAATACTAAATACCTGAAAAAACTAAAATTGTACCAGTGTCTAAATATATATATATAGACCTAACTCTGTATTTAAAAAGGGGTCAAAATATTTACCAAGTAATCATAGACCTGTTAGTTTAACTTCTATAGCTGGGAAGATACTGGAGAGTTTAATAAAAGACCACATAGATGAGTTCTTGCTGGAAAAAAATATTTTAAGCAACAGACAGCATGGATTCATGAAATACAGAAGTTGTCAAACAAACCTGATTTCTTTTTATGAGGAGGTGAGCAAAACCTTGGACAGAGGGGTGGCAGTGGACGTGGTATACTTGGACAGAGGGGTGGCGGTGGATGTTGTATACTTGGATTTTGCAAAAGCGTTTGACACAGTTCCCCACACACGGCTAATGTGTAAGGTAAAGTCTACAGGCTTGGAAAAATCTGTATGTAAATGGATACAAAACTGGCTAAAAGATCATATTCAGAGTAGTGGTTAATGATTCATACTCTGAATGGTCTAGGGTCATCAGTGGTGTACCCCAAGGTTCAGTGTTGGGACCCTTACGTTTTAATATATTTATAAACAATATAGGGTCTGGGATTATAAATCCCATTTCAGTCTTTGCAGATGACACCAAGCTGTGCAGTGGAATAACGTCCTTACAGGATGTCTCCAATTTATAAACCGACCTCAATGCACTGTGTAATTGGGCAACTATGTGGCAAATGAGGTTTAATGTTGATAAATGTAAGGTGGGGGCTAAGAATATGCACTTGGGGGCTAAGAATATGCATGCATCATACATACTAAGGGGGGGGGGGGGGTACAACTGGGGGAATCAATGGTGGAGAAGGATCTGGGGGTTCTGGTAGATCACAAGCTTAATAATGGCATGCAATGCCAAGCTGCGGTTTCTAAAGCGAGCAAAATCCTCTCTTGTATTAAAAGAGGTATAGACTCCAGAGAGAGATATCATTTCCCCCAGAACACATCATTAGTAAGACCTCATCTGGAATATGCAGTTCAGTTTTGGGCACCAATTCACAAAAAGAACATTGGGGAACTGGAGAAAGTACAGAGAAAGGAAACCAAACTGATAAGAGGCATGGAGGAGATCAGCTATGAGGAAAGATTAGAGGAACTGAATGTATTCTCTCTTGAGAAGAGGAGATTAAGGGGGGATATGATCAACATGTATAATACATAAGGGGGATATGATCTCCATGTATAATACATAAGGGGGGATATGATCACCATGTATAATACATAAGGGGGGATATGATCTCCATGTATAATACATGTATAATACATAAGGGGGATATGATCTCCATGTATAATACATAAGGGGGGATCATCACCATGTATAATACATAAGGGGGGATATGATCTCCATGTATAATACATAAGGGGGGATATGATCACCATGTATAATACATAAGGGGGGATATGATCTCCATGTATAATACATAAGGGGGGATATGATCACCATGTATAATACACACCATGTATAAATACATCAGTGGTTCATATAGTGAACTCGGTGTAGAGCTATTCACCCTGAGGTCATCACAGAGGACAAGGGGGCACTCTTTACGTCTGGAGGAAAATAAATTTAATCTCCAAATATAGAAAGGTTTCTTCACAGTGAGAGCTGTGAAAATGTGGAGTAAACTCCCTCAAGTGTTGGTTCTGGTCAGCTCAGTGGATTGCTTTACAAAACAAAATGCTGGATTCTTTCTTGGATACACAGAATATAACTGGATACTAACATTTATAGGTAAAGTTGATCCAGGGAATATCGGATTGCCTCTCGGGGGATCAGGATGGAATTTTTTCCCCTGCAAAAGCAAATTGGATCATGCTTTGCTGGGATTTCCTTCTTTTGGATCAGCTGTGGGTATAGGATAACTTTTTTTTTTTTTAATAGTTGAACTGGATGGACTTTTGTCTTTTTTCAGCCAGACTAACTATGTAACTATTAAAGTGGACATTCAGTCAAAATCTAACTAAGGCTAAACCTACTCCCACCCCATTCTAATCCTATTTTATCTGCCCTTTGAAGGAGAAGTTGCTTATACTTACCTATTCTGAAGCCGCTGTGGTCCAATCCCATGATCGGGTTCCAATGCAGGCAATGTGGGGTGTTACATATATCAAATAACACAGGTTTCATGCACTGCTAATCCCAATATTGTCTAACAGCATAAAATGGCTGTCTTAAATATATTTGGAGGTGACATTAAACCCTAGTTTAAAATAAATTCTAATCAAGTAAGTATTCTCAGCACCTAAACCTTCTATTTCCTTAGCCACCTCCAAATTCCTTTTTTTCTGCTGTGATCCAACTTCCTGTTAGATGGTAGCTATGTTTGTTCTTGCAGCCAATCTCTCTTGTTCACTCTTGAGATGGACTATAGGATTTGTAGTGTGCACAGAGCAGGGCACACAACCACAACTAATGTGCACTGCTCATTACAAACAAATGAAAGTTATGGAGGAAAAGGAGAGGTTTGGGAAGGATGCAGAAAACACCAGAAAACAATTTCATGAAAAATACTTTACAGGGCCATTAGGTAATGGATGTGTATGGATTATTTTTGGAGAATAAGGATATTGTTTAATGTCACTGAATGCTCCCAAAATGGGCACATGTGATTGGTTTCCATCTTTTGTCCATAGGAATGGGGGTTGCTTGTATGGAACAAGTTAAAAAGGTGGAGCTTTCAGGACCCCAGTGCTTGACAAATGTTTTAAACAAATGGCTTGCTCTGTAGTACATTGCATGGATTAAAGCATAGCATTTCCACCAAATACATGTGTCCTGCGCTGGACAGTGTCCTCTCTCTAAGACAGAGAGAGAGAGGACACAGGCTGCATAAACACTGGCTCTAAGGAAGAGGCACAACTCGAAACGCGTCAGCCACCAGCTATCTAGAGGTCTACAGTCCCCCAACAGACCATCTTCAGGGGTTTTTGGACCACATTTCATCCTTTGTGACATGTTTTCCATTTGATTTTATATCTCTTGTATTTTACTATTTATAAATAAATCTCATTTTGAAAAGTAATGCACTAGGCCCGTAAGCCCTCTTTTTGTTTCCTACATATAGCATTTCCACCACATCTGAGGCATGGAAGGCTGCGGTATAGAAAATAATATAGCATATATCAGAACTACTATACAGCAGATTTAGGTTACCTTTCCAGATCTGAGGAATGAGATCAAAGCGATTCTCCATCTCTATCACATGCAGGACATCCAAGATGCCATCTGTATATGGAATATACCTCTGTGGAATAGGACACAGCGTAAATTTTTGGATATTATATAACCATCACGACTCTGAAATTCCCAGTCAAATCATTACAATTTTAACCACTTCAGCTCTTATGCCTGTATACTCCTGTATACTCCCCTATGGACTAGCGCAATTTTTAGTATTTCAGCTGTGGGCCTATTGATTCCATGATTCTGTCACTACTTAAAGTAGAACTACCATAAAAAAAAAAAAAAAAAAAAAAAAAAAAAAAAAGTTTGCCTGTACAGTGGAGATGAATTTGAACACCTGTCACTTTTTTTTTTATCACTGTCTGTGCCCATGTTAGAGTGATTTCCCTTCTCTATTTGTCCTGTTTACCATTACCATTGAAAGTGAAAAGAAAATCTCAAATTTTGCACTGACACCAGAACAGAAATAGAGGGGAAATCTTCCAACTGGGACACTAGTTCTGGTGACACCCTAGAATTCCTTCACTTTGGAGAGATTTCCCCTCACTTCCTGTTGTGGCTATGGGACAAGAAGTGGTGGTAAATCTCCCCAATAAAAAAAAAAAAAAAAAAAAAAACTGGAAGAGGTTATAACCCACCCCTTACTGGAACTACACTATATCTGAGCATCACAAACAAATGCTATTTAACTCATTTTTAACCTCCCTAGCGGTATTCCCGAGTGTAGCTCGGGGTAAAATGTCTATACCAAAAGCGGTAACCCCCTAGCTACACTCGGGCTTACCATGCAGCGCTGTATAGGGATTCCCTGCAGCACTTACCTTGTCCTTCACTCCCGCGATATGTCCCCTGCAGCGTCCCCGGCCATCTCCTCCGGCTGATGCCGGCATCCGCCTCCTGTGTTCCGGTCCCTGTGACTTCGGGACGTACGGGCGCCGGCGGGAAATTTGAACATTTAAAAAAAATGTATTTTTTTCCAAATGATTTTACATGGTAAAACATTGCTGTTTCAACCCATTTCACATACATTTTGTCCCGAGTGCTTTGTCCTGTCCCCTGTCTGCATTTTGACTGTTCTTTCTGCCTGGAAACTTAGAAAAGTCCACGGCGTCCAAAAAGTGTCCCTTTAGGTCAAAAGCGGGTTTAGACCAGCTAGAGAACAGCGATAGTAAATCAGAACCACTTGCAGAATTGAGTGATAATGATTCGTGGGGGAAATTCGGCATCAAACACTGCAAACGATTCTGCGACTGAGCTCAGTGATGTGCGAACTTGGCGCTATATTTCAAATTTCAGTGTTTTTGGTTTGATTATATTATTGAATTAAATGTATGATTTAGAATCTTGTTCAGACAGATTTCAGTGAGTTATTCCTAAAAATTACAGCCTACAATAAAAAAACTACATATTTCCATGCAAAATAATTGTACCGCTTTCAGCACCAAAAATATGAAATAATCATACCGCTAGGGGAGGTTAATATTCAAAGCAATTCCCCCAGCCCTCAAGCATGTCTCTGTGCTTTATTTTGTTGAGAAAAAAAACTTGGAAAAACACCCTCTAGCATTTCTGACTGTGGCCATCTTAAGTAAGGGCAAATTATTAAATGTAAATTTATTTTTTATATTCAATCTGCCCTTAGCTCAGGCATGCATGCATGCAGGAGGGTGCTCTTAACTGAGAATACCCCTCCTCTCCTCCTGAAGATGTTTGTATGATGGATGGGTATGTTCTGCTGTACTTAAAATTATTCACTCTGAGTTATTTTTTTACGTCTCTGATTATTGTAATGTATCCACGTTATAGAACATACCATCTTCCTCCACAATGGAACCCTGATGAAGGAGACTAATCTGAAACGCGTCGGGTTATCCATTAGTAACTTCCCAATAGGACAAGGAGGACATTCTATCTTGACCTTGCTGGTTATACTGGATGTTTCTACTATTGCAGCCATATAGTACTTAGTACACTGTGTTACGTTTGCCTAATTCATCACCAAAATTCATATACATTAATGTGCTGATTATGCAATAATCATGCAAAATAATGCTTAATGTGCAATTTATACATGAAGAAATAAAAAATAGGATTAGGAATAAAAATAAAATACAAAATAAAAAGTTCACCAACTTATTCAGCAAATTATATGATAACTTCCACACACCATCTATAGAGGCTTACCAGAATGATCAGACGTTATAGGAGGTTGAACTAACATGAAGATACAAAAGGCAAACAGAAGCAACTTGGGGGCAATCTCACATCAAGGATACACCTCTAGTAGCCACTAGCAAATTGAATGTAATGGCTCCAACAGCTTTGCAAAAAACTCCAGTGGACCAATAACAAAAATACCACAATAGGTATAAAAAAAAAACTCCATGGCCCAATATCACAGATTGCATAGATTTTTAATCAGCGATTATATTCACAAAGGGAGACATACACTCACCGGCCACTTTATTAGGTACACCTTGTTAATGCGAAGAAAATATCCTCCGCATCACTACACCACCACCACCAGTCTGAACCGTTGATACAAGATGGATGGATCCATGCTTTCATGTTGTTTACACCAAATTCTGACCCTACCATCTGAATGTCACAGCAACCAGTCTGCCCATTCTCCCCTGACATCAAAAAGGCATTTTTGTCCACACAACTGCCACTCACTGGATGGATTTTTCTCTTTTTTGGACCATTCTCTGTAAACCCTAGAGATGGTTGTGCGACTGTCACGTACCTGGTTGGGGAGCCTGACGTGGAGAGAAGGCGTCCTCTTACGACTCCTGCTCGGAGCCCCAGATAGTGGGAACAGAGGGCGCAGAGCCAGGAGCGGCACGAGTGCCGGGCGGATCTGGAGCTGGTGACAGGTAGCGGAAGACCCAGGAGATCCGGATGCAGGCCAGGTGTGGATGCAGAAACGTAGGTGCAGCAGCAGGCAGGTATGGCGGCAATCAGGATGCAGACTGGGAGTGGACACCGGAGCGTGGGTGCGGTAGCAGGCTGGTATAGCAGGGACCAGGATGCAGGCCATGTGCAGGCAGATCCGTGGGTGCAGTGGCAGGCAGGTATGGCACATGTCAGGATGCAAGCCAGATGCAGGACCATGGGTGCAGCGGCAGGTAAGTATGGCAGCCGTCAGGATGCAAGCCAGGTGCAGGTGTAGGTACGTAGATACAGCAGAGTCAGGCAAGCCGGGCCCAGTATTAAGCAGGCAGATTAAGTACAAAGGAGCAGTCAAGCGGATGGTCAGGGATAGCCAAGGTTGGTGCAGGAGGAGTTCTTTCTTAGTCAGGGTCAGATCAGAATACAAGCAACAGGATCAGGTAATAGTGCAGGGACGCTGTAGACCAGAAGGCATTGATTGTACTGTATTGCAGGTTTAAACAGCCCGCCTAGTGGTGACGCGGACTGCACGGTGACAGGATACCTGACAGCGAAGAAGTCCCAGTAGATCAGCAGTTTTTTAAATACTCAGACCAGCCCATCTGGCACCAACAACCATGCCACATTCAAAGTCACTTAAATCCCCTTTCTTCCCCATTCTGATGCTCAGTTTGAACTTCAGAAAGTCAACTTCCCCATGTCTACATGCCTAAATGTATTGAGTTGCTGCCATGTGATTGGCTGATTAGCAATTTGTTTTACCAAGCAATTGAACAGGTTTACCTAATTAAGTGGCTGGTGAGTGTAGACAGGCATTACATCAAAATCATGGCACTGCCACTGAGCATCCAGTGTACGCAATGGTGTCACGGGTAAGCTCTGCCCAACTGGTTTTGCGGCAGTACATGTCTTCAGGGGACCAGTCCCCTTTTCTGATATATATGCACTTTATGACTTAAAGAGACAGCAGACTCACATCCAGACTGATTATGGTTAAAAAGGTGTTTAACAGGAACACAGTTTTTTTTTTTTTACCCTTCACCATCGCCAGAACTTACAGAAGGAACGTTCTCTCTATACCACTTTAGAACACCATCAATGTTCTCCTGCAGGCAGATGATATTAAAAAGCCTGGTACTGCAAACAGAAAGGAAAAGTGATTACTATAAGTGATTGCTTGTACACTTCAGCTTCTGTTTTTGCTTTCCACCTGCTCTCACTTTGAGGCCTCAATTGTTTAAGTATTATTTATGGTTTGCAAAAGATACCTATTTATGCCGTATTAACATCCATCTAACATCCCTGAAAGAGAAACCGTTTCATGCAAGTTCTACCCCTTGCGCCAGACTGTGCTATTGGAGATAGCATGGGGTCTGCTTAGTATGCAGAATTATTCTTAAGATGTACAGATCACCAAACAGGAGAGATGGTTTCAGGTTTTCTGAAGTATATAGACAGTCTCTTGGCTCTTCACTTCCTGCACGCCTTCACTCCTAAAGTTTTCTTGCTACATTACGTCCGGATGTAGACAAAGGAGGGAAGCAACACATGAAAAATGTTATCACAAATCGGTATATTTTGAGTCTTGGTGTTGAAGCTGTTGCTGCCCTAGGCTGGATCCCATAAGTGCCAATATGGTAAAGCAGCCTTGTCAATAGCATCACTACAGACACCAAGCTGCTTAACTAATTTCCAACTGTAGATTCAGCTGCTGTATGGATGTTCTACAGAAACATTGAACAGCCAGATCTTCAGGGTCTGTGGGTACCTTCAGAACATGGTCCTTGGGTTCACACTCTCCTTCGTGAGATAATTTCCCATCATCATCCTAAAAGAAGGCTGCTTTGAGGCACTCAACATGTAGCCCAATCTCAGTTATGTTTGCAATACATTATACAATTTTCTTGTATGATTTGCTTTGGATATACCTTCAACTATGTAGTGCAAGGGCTTGCCTGATTGGCTAAAATTTGAAAGCGATGTTTAGGTTTGACCTCATTTTATATGGTTTTTGGTAAATCTAAAGAAAAATGTACAAGAAAATTGTATAACGTATGGCCAGCTTTAGACCCCATTTGCCGTTCAGGCACATTTTTTCAAAGAAACACTGGATTCAGTTTACATCAGTTTTCAGTTCAGTACAGCATACATCAGTCTACATTCATTTTTGCATTTTTTTTTTTTTTTTTTAAGCTGTAGCAGAACCCAATCAGAGGTGACAACTGTATAAACAAACAGATGTTTCTTGCCTAAAAACAGAACATATTATTATGGACAGTATCCGCTTACATCTATTCCGTGTCAATGGATCTGTATTTTGGTTGTTCATTTAAAAAAAAAACTGAACGGACATCAATGTAAACGAAGGATCATCTGTTTGTTCATAGAAATGAATTGCTGTCCGTTTCACAAAGGAAATACTAAATAGGCCCCATTCACACAGGAACACCTGTGTGAAAAGGGGCCTATGTAGTATTTTGCTCTGTGAAAGCATAAAATAATTGACCTACTCTGTATTAGCATCAGAAACCAGAATAGCAGGATCTACACACCTGCTATACTTGCAGCAAGGAAGTAAACAGAGACAGGGAACAAAGATCCCATATCCCATTGCTTGTGACAACTGTCAGAGTAGCTGTAGAAGAGATGTGTCACAGGATTCCATGGATTATGCCAAAGATGGGAAGCTGGAGACGGTGTTTTTGTACACTCTGGGAAGCTTGGAGTTAGGAGGAAGGTACAAACAAGGGATAGTTACATTCTGGATGAGGGACTTTTCATCACAGCTAAATAAAATCAGCACCCTCGGTACCTACAGTGGATATAAAAGTCGACAGAATGCCAGGTTTTTGAGATGTAAAATAAAAAAAAAAAAAAAAACACTTCCGAATTTTTTCCATCTTTAATGTGAGCTGTAATCTGTGCAAATCAATTAAAACAAACAGAAATCTTTAAAGGGGGAAAAATAAAAACATACAAAAATGCGGTTGCATAAATATGCACACCCTAAATACTTGGATGTTGGATTTTATGACAGCATTCAGTCTTTTGGCATTCAGGCTTTAATCAGCATGACACATCTTGCCTTGGGAATCTTTGCTCACTCTTCCTGGCAAAAGTGCTCCAAATCTGTCAGATTGTGAGGGCATCTTCAGCGTACTGAACCTCCTCAGGTCACTTTAGGTCGCTATCACGCTGAGAGGCGAAATTCCTCTTCATCTTTAGATTTTTAGCAGAGACCTGAAGGTTTTGTGCCAAAATGGACTGATATTTGGAACTGTTCCTAAGTCCCTCCACCTTGACTAAAACCTTAGTTCCAGCTGAAGAAAAACAGTCCCAAAGCATAATGCTGGCACCACCATGCTTCACTGTGGGTATGGCATTTTTTAAGTGATGTGCAGTGTTGGTTCTGAGCCAAAATGCATTTTTGGAATCATGGCAAAACAGTTCAATCTTGGTCTCAGACATTTTCCTGCATGTTTCTGGCATACTTGACTTACGTTTTTGCAAAATGTAGCTGGGCTGTTTATATTTTTTTGTTTTGTTGTTAAGTATGAAAAGGCTTTGATCTTGCCACCTTACCCCACAGCACAGATATATGAAGAATAGGGGAGATTGTGGTAATGCTTTACACAACCAGTACTTGCCAGAAATTCCTAATGCTCCTTTAAAAGATTAAGTTTACCTTTAACAAAAACCCCCCCCAAAAAACAAGAATATAAATGCACATATATTTGCAGGTAAAAAATATGTGCATTTATTACTTTTTTCTACAGCAGTCTGCAAAGTATTATGCTCGCGATCAGTGGATCCTTCAAAGTTCTTGCCTGTACCTCTAGGGACTGTTTACAAAATGGAGGAAGTGTCAGTGAACTACGAGGGCGCTCATTAGCCCCTCTCAAAGTCCATTGAGAACTACAAGCTGCCTGCTGAAGTGGCATAAGAGACTTGTTTATTCATTCACAAATCCAAATGTGTCAGCAGCTACAGGGAAGGGGGGTTACTAAACTTGTTATGCCCTAAATATGTGTGTGTAACAACATGTTCAGAAGGTGAGTTTATCCTTTTAATGTTGCTTTAGGCCTCTTGGCAACCCACCAGACCAGAAGATCAAAGCTTTGGAATGGCCGAGCCAGAGCCTGACCCGAATCCAAACGAAAATCTGTGAGGTGACCTGAATAAGGCTGTGCAGAGGAGATGCCCTCACATTTTGACAGATATGGAGTACTTTTGCAATGAAGAGTGGGCAAAGATTCCCAAGGCAAGACATCCCCTGCTGATGGACTCCTACACCAAAAGATCGAATGCTGTCAAAAAACCAAAGAGGTGCTTTGTCAAATTATTAATTTAAAAGGTGTGCATATTTATACAACCATGTTGTTCTAAGTTTTTTATTATTTTAACCTCCTTTAAAGATTTGTTTTTAATTGAATTGTACAGATTATGGGTCACATTAAAAGATGGAAAACATCCTGAAGTGATTTATATTAGTCTGATATTATCTCAAAAACCTGGCATTTTTACAGGGTGTGTCAACTTTTTATATCCACTGTCGGAATAAAGACCGAGTATACTGATTTCATTTAGTTAGTGATGAAAAGTCCCTCATCCTCGGTCTATCAATTAGAACAGGGGTCTCCAAACTTTTAAACAAAGGGTCAGTATACTGTCCTTTAGACGAAAGAAGGGGGGGGCCTGAGGCCAGTGGGAACAGAAAAAGGGATGGCATCATTGGGAGGAATTGTGCCCCATTGTTGGTGTCATTGGGAGGAATTATGCCTAATTGTTTGTGTCATTGGGAGTTATTGTGCCCCTTCTTTGGCATCATTGGGAGGAATTGTACCCCTTCTTTGGTGTTATTGGGAGGAATTGTGCCCATTCTTTGGTGTCAGTAGATGGAATAGTGCCCTAAGGGCCAGATAAAGGCAAGCAAAGGGCCGCATCTGGCCCCTGGGCCGCAGTTTGGAAACCATTGTATTAGAATGATGGTGGGAAATAGGGAGTAGAGGATGACAATGTAAACATAATGCTAGAAAAGTGCACATTTGAGAGTAACATGAAACTCACTAGTAGTGACTCTGCGCGACGCGACTTCCAACAAATTTCCAGTTGTCTCCAGTGTTTCTCAGGGCATCCACTCTATAAGCCAATTCTAGATCCTTTATATCCACACACTGAAATCAGAAAAACACTGGTAAGACGAGACTCAGATTCTCTTATGTAGCTTAAAATTCCTTCCTGCCAAACTGCAAGGTTTCATCTGAAGCACATCCATAGTTTCAGTAGCCAATTGGAGTTAAAGTGGTCCTAACAGACCACTGGGTCTTGCTTTCCCACTTTTTGCAATTGGCATGTATTTCTATATAATACTCATATATGCAAGGAGCTGCGGCCTATCTGAACACAATGAGGATTAAGCAGTGCACCTGCTAATACATGTCTTATTTACAAAGTGGTTTTGCACTAAAATACATTATGAGTAACTACTGAATGTCACAACTCCTTTTGTATTCACTACTGAATCTGGTAAATGTTCTCTGCCCCCAACACAATTCACCCAAACCACTGGTGGCTCCTCACTATTCACTTTTATGTCAGTTGCTGGAGCCATCCTTTTGTATATCACAAGCCACACTGCACAGTAAGCTCATGCACTGTTTAGTGGCCTGCAACAACATCAACAAGGACAGACCATCTGGGTTGGACATCAGGCAGTATGGATCTTGACTACCAACTGAAATCTAGAGTTATGTGAATAAAAGGCAGAGCACCATTCACAATGCTAACTTTGATAATGCCAAAAGTAGATAAAGTTCCTTTTGAGAGCATAGCATTTGTCATGACCAGGCCATTTTTTTGCTGTTCGGCACTTCAACTGGTAATTACGCGGTCGTGCAATGCAAAACCCAAACTAAATTTATGACCTTTTTTTTTTTTACACAAAGCTTTCTTTTGTAGTATTTGATCACCTCTGCGGTTTTTACTTTTTGCGCTATAAACAAAAAAAGATCAAACATTTTGAAAAAAACCCGATGTTTTTCACTTTTGGTTATAAAAAAATATCCAATAAACTCAAAGTTAGTCATAAATTTAGGCCAAAATGTATTCTGCTACATGTCTTTGGTAGAAAAAAAAAACTCAATACACGTATATTAATTGGTTTGTGTGAAAGTTATAACGTTTACAAACTATGGTATAGAAAATGGAATTTACAAAGCTTTTACTTTCTGACTGCCCATCACATTTCTTGAGGTGCTAAAATGCCAGGGCAGTACAAACATCCCCCAAATGACCTCTTTTTGGAAAGTAGACACCCCAAGGAATTTAAATAAGAGGCATGGTATTTTACAGATATTTTTGTCACAGGGCTTTGAAAACAAAAAAAAGAAAAGAAAAAATTAATTTTTGTTTTCTTTCTTCGTTTTCCAAAAACGTGTGGCAACAAATGGGATCTGCAAAATACTCACCATGCCTCTTAGCAAATACGGTTTACATACCGGCACGGGGTCAACGCTTGCACACACAAGGGCGAAGGTGCTTTTTTTTTGTTGTTATTTTGCTTTTTTTTTTATTATTTTTACACTGTAAATATCCCCTTTGACTGCAATTGACAGGTTTTCTTTTTTGAGAAATCTGAGGTTTATTAGACTCTAGATATCTCCTCTGTGCTACATCATCTGATCTCACCAAGATTGGTGTGATCAGATGCTTTCCCAATTTACAAATGGTGCTGTTTATATCCTGCGAAAGTGATGAAATGCTCGTAGCTTTCGATTTCTTAGACTATAGAGATGCTTGGAGCCATTCTGGTCTCTGATCAGCTCTATGGTCAGCCAGCAGATCCGCCGGCTGCATTCTCGGATTCCCCTGTGGGACAGGAGAGCCCAAGAAAACTGTGGAAGGCAGCAAAAATTCTCAAAATGGTATTTTTTATTTTATTTTTTTAATAATTTTATCAGAATAGTACAATGTTACCATAGTAACATTGTACTACTGTGGGAAGGTGATCAGGGATTTTTTTTTTTTTTTTACATTTTGCTTTGCTGGAGAAATAAAGATCATTTCTCCTGAAATGCAAAGCTTGTTGTCATGAGCCCAACTCATTCATGAACGGTTATGAATGAGTTAAGTTTTTGACAGCTCAAGATAGTGATCTGTGATTGGCTGGAGCTGGTCACAAGGTACAGGATGCTGTGACTGGCCCCATGTATCATATGACAGCTGTGGGAAAATCACAGCTCACTAGGAAGAGAAGTAGAGCTGTTATGAATGAGATTGCTTCATAACAGCTTTGCTTACATTGTGATCATGTGATCGCATAGTGTTCACCGTATCTTCATTCTGCTGTGTCCGCTGGACACAGCAGTCGCGTTGGGGGGAAAACTGCATGCTCACTTGTGTTAGTACAGCCAGAGCGACGTACGGGTACGTCACTTTGCCTGTAGCTGCCGCCCAGCCACAGTACATTGCGGGCGGGTGGGAAGCAGTTAATTACTGCATTTCAGATCCAAAGCAATGCATCCTGCAAAGCATATCCCCTTGGCACCGGCAATCTTTAGAGTAAAATTCCCATGTATGATACCCTGTGTAGAGGGAATGTAATCTGGGTTGCATCTTGCAATGAGCAGTGCTGACTGCTGCTAAGGCTAATGTGTCAGTTATGTACTGGTGATCACATGGTTTTATTTGTAAACAGTTGTCATTCAATATTTCCCTCTGTATGCACTTGATGTTTATATAGAAAGAAATACTTTACTAAAGGTGAACTAAAGGCAAAATACATAAGTGGATGCAGTCATGTGATCAATAAATATATTTATTTTAACTGAAGCAGAGGAAATTCTAGAATTTGACTTGGTATCAGCCTCGTTCAGTACCTATATAGCAGAGCTCAAGGAAGGGAGGGAAGCGCAGCACAAACAGCCAGTTGGATGAGTTGCAGTGCAAGTAGCATGTTGATCAGAGAACAGTGTGACAAAGGGATGTGAACTCATCACTGCTCTTCTTCTCCTTTCACTGCACAGTCACAAGGCACAATTTAAGGGGGGGGGGGGGGGGTGGGGGGGTAGACAAGTGAAAGTGAACTGGAAAGAGAATTATCCCTTAAATGCATTTCATCGGTGTATTTGGCATTTTGCCCAGAGGTCGACTTTAACTAAATTAATACCGAACGGTGGAAACTGACTGCTGGTAACCGTAGGTTAAAAAAAAGTCTGTTTAGCCCCGTTTGCATACCGCGTTTATGCACATTTATGAGCGTTTGCGTTTAGAAGCGGTTTTTTTTTTTTTTTTAAATGACCTCAGTAGACCTTCCAAAATGCCCAGAATGCACTGAAAACCAGTAAAAAATTAACTATTTCAAACATTTTGAGAGAAATAAAGAGAGCAGAAGCAGATAGAGCAGTATGTGTTGAGATGATCTGTCTTTTCTGGTTGTATTCATTATCGATCCCATCATGAGCATAATGCAGCACGTTCTACCATTTTTTCCTTCACGCAAAACCTGGAACTGACTGCGCTGGTGTACCGGGTCCATTTGAATACATGGAAAACATTTTGCATGCATTTCTGATTATGAAAAAAGGCTCTGGACAGCATCTGGATAAGGAACAGTTAAAAAACGCTTCTAAACGCTTATAAATGCAGTTAGCCACATTTACAAGCGTGCGGCGTTTGAAACGTGCGGTGTTTGGTGTGTTCAGAAAAACGACTGTAAACGACTATGTGTACATGGACATATAGGAAAATATTAGGGAGTGCTCAGGGGCTGCTGGGAAAAAAAAAAAAAAAATTGCAGAAAAGTTCCTGAACGTCAGTTTACCAGCTGCAGTGTACATGAGCCCTAAAACAAAAAAATGAAATTCCTCCAAAGAATCACGTACATCACTGCATGACATCAAAGAAAGGCTTTTGAAAAAATATATTGCAGACACTTTCATTCACCATTTAATTTTGTTCAATAATAAAGTGGTTCTAAAGCCACATTTTTTTTTAAGTTATTTCATTGCCATGCCCTTCTTACCCCCTTCCCCCTCATTATACTTACCTGAGCCCTCATTCAATCCATTGTGCACATATGCAGCTCTCAACTCTCCTTACTTCTGGTTTTCTCAGGCTTTGCTGAAGTAGTGGGAGCCATTGGCTCTCACTGCGGTCACTTAAAGCCAATGACGAAGGAGCAGGGAGAACGGACGCAGCAGCGCGACTTGGGAGCAAACCCACATAAGTGACCCCATGGAAAGCAGCTTCTCATTGGGGGCACTTGGAGGAGTGGAGGAGCCAGGAGCACCAGTGGGGACAGAGCAGGTTCACGGGTGCTCTGTGCAACTCTATTGCACAGACCAGGTAAGTATAGGCATGTTTTTAAAAAAAATCCTTCACAACCACTTTAACACTGTATAAAGTACTGGACACCCCAGCATCATTATTCTTAAATAAGAATATAGATTGTCAGACTAGAATTGAACTTAAAAAGTGAAAAATGTGCTTGGCAGTACCTAGGCAGCAACCTGAAAAATCCACACTTTGTTTTGAAATCCTCCTAAAAATAGCAGGACATTTCCTTTGTCTACAGCCTCAAAGCTGTATATCTGTAGTGTGACCGCTGGTCTTTCAGGAAATTTGGAGTAAACCAAAACATCATTTATATGCATCACCTTGACTGATATACGTACCACTTGCATTGCAGATGCAAAGAAGTTCGCTGAAAGAAAAAAAAAAAAAAATTGATTCAAAACACAAAAATCACAACACACACACACACACACACACGTATGTATTTCATAAAAAATAGTGCAGCACTATAGGTATGATGTAGGTCAAAGCAAGACTAAAAATATCTAAATGCACAATAGCATGTCAGTTAAAACAAGACTAAAAAAAAATCAAAATGTCTAAACGCATAATATCACATGCAATAAGTCAAGGCAAGAAAAAAATAAAAACAAAAAATAAGAAAAGCACTTTATAAGACTCTAATGAAAACACGGAACTATTTTTTTAATTTTTTAAATTTTTTTCTTTCCTTGACTTATTGCATGTGATGATATGCGTTTAGACATTTTGATTTTTTTTAGTCTTGTGTTAACTGACACGTGCTATTGTGCATTTAGATATTTTTAGTCTTGCTTTGACCTACATCATACCTATAGCGCTGCACTATTTTTTATGAAGTTTTATTAGGGTTTTTCATTTGGTTACCTTGAGTGTCCAGCAGCTTACCCTTCAAGAGCGCTCACTTTTACACCATTTTTTACATATATGTATTTATATTTATATACATGCGCACACATACATACATACATACACACACACACGTATGTATATTTATATCCATGCGCGCGCACACACACACTTTTTTCTCTTTATATAGCCAATCTTTGATTCACCATGCTAGTAAGTTGCGTTACTTTGAAGACACAAACTCCATTCATAAAGCCAAAACACCAGGATAAAGCTGCTTCTATTCAAAACAAGTCCAATAAGATATGAAACTTAGGCTAAATGCACATGGACATAAAAACAGACATATGGCCGTGTGGTATAACATACACCTGTATCCAGAGCTTAGAAGCCCCAAATGTGGGTCTCCTTCAACTGGCTGTTACTTCACAACTGCACTAATCATCTCTGCTACACAAAAGAGACGATAACCTGCACAGAAAGTGTAACCACTCAGTCAGAGCAGACAGCCAGACTATCACAGAGAGAGACAGCAGTACAGTGATTGTACTGTACTGTTCCATTAAGCAGGAAGCAAAGCCTACATAACAGACAGGCTGCGTCATGTACATACATCATGCACTACTAAATATTGACAGAAACAAGCTTTTCTTCCTGCTTAGCTAAACAAAGCCTCACTTTGGTGTCCGTTTATGAACCAGCGGTAATAGATCGCTGCTCAGTTCTCCGGCATTCTCGGAGAACACAGTTCTCCTGAGAATGCAGTTTATGAAGCAGTTCTTCGAACGAAGGGAGAACGGTCTCCAAACGCTGGAGAACGGTCTACAAACTCTGGAAAACGGCTGATTTTACTATAATCTCACGAGATTACAGTAAAAAATCAGTTTACTAAGCAGAGGTAAATTATCTCTGCTTAGTTTGCGGTCCCTCTGATTCTCCAGCTCTGGGCTGTAGAATCTGGAGGGAGAACACAGATCTCCAGTGAAGGGCTGAACATGTTCTCCGCTGATCTCCTGAGTGTCATAAACTGTAAATGACCAGAGAATAGCTGAGATCCGTTGAATCGCAGCTATTCTCTGTGTCATAAACGGACACCTTTACTGCTTCCCTTTCTCAATGTACATCGATCTAGACATGCTGAAAACAAGACAAGACAATCTATGGGTGGTTTTATATCCTCTTTCATAGCCGTTGTTCTTCAGAGATGTTAGATATACTGTCTATGCATGCAGACAACACCAGAGGGAGAATCCACAAAACGCAGTATGAAATCTCATTAAAGAAATAATGGACAGTAAGGCCTCATTCAAGCGGGTGAACTACAGGGTACACCCATGTGAGGGAAGTGCTGAATGTATACCAGTTCAGGCAGTCCCATTCATTTCAATTGGGATATAGCTGCTGCACTGCAGCTTTATTTTTTTTTGTGATCGCTTTTATAGCTGTCACAAGGAATGTAAACATCCCTTGTAACAGCAATAAACACACATCTCCTGAGTGTGATGGCAAGATGAGGCAATGGTTGGAAGAAATCTGGGGTCATGTTCTGAGGATCACCCGGTCTGGAAAGATAAAATATTTTTTACCAATAAAGTTCCTTAGGGTTGCTTCTTCCAAGGGCTCAAACAACCTTTTAGTTAGGCGTTGTAAAACTAAAGATAAGTTCCATTTAGGAAAAACTAATAGAAACCAGCCTAGACCTGGCCAATGCCTTAAAAAAAAAATCTAACAATTAATGGCTCCTGGGATAACGTTCTTTCCAAGAAAACCAATAATGCTGCAGCTTGAGGGTACCTGTTGCTAACCCCTTCTCCATTCCTTCATGAAGAAACTCCAAAACCGAAACTAAACTCTTCAATTGGATGCCGTTGTCTGAACACCAGGAATTATAACACTTCTACACCTTATGGTATACTGCTCTGGCCACTTTCTTCGTACTTGAAAGGAGGGTGGCAATCAATTTGTCTGACAGCCCCTTTCTTCTTAGATCTTCCTCAAGAACCAGGCTGTTAATTTAAGTCTCTCCACCTCTGGGTGGCAAACAGGTCCCTGGACCAGCAAATCCTTCCTGTCTGGCAGTCTGCAGGGGGGTGTGGAGGCTAGTTTTCTGAAAGTCAAGAACCATGGCCTTTTTGTCCAGTATGGTGTGATCAGCAATAGATCTGCAGCTTTTTGTTCGAACTTCCAAAGTACTAGGGGAACCAGCTGGACAGGAGGGAATACAGAGTAAAAGGGGTAATCCCATGGATGAGCCAACGCATCCAGTCCCATGGCCGTTCTTCTCTGTGCAAGGAGAAAAATTTTGGTGACTTTGCGTTCAGGCGACTTGCAAAAAAGGTGTACCTGGGGAACCCCTCCATGCCTCTGTGATCCCTTGGAAGACTTCCTGATTCAGACTCCATTCAGACTCTACCACCTTCCTCTTGCTTAGAAAGTCTGGATAGGGTGCTCTGCTGTGAACCGACTGTAGCCCTGGCATTTTATCCAATAAGAAGCTAAAAGACCCCTCCCCCCCCCGGCTGGTGCACAAGGCACCTGTTTCAGCAGCCACCGCCAATCCCTCTGCCTCCTCCATCTGCAGAGAGTGCAGCTTGCTGGACAACTTTGTTCTATTTTAAATTTCTCTCCGGCGTCCCTGTGCCTAGGGACCTGGGCCCACCAGCCCTACCCCACCGCTTCCCCCTGCGTTCCAGTGGCTGGAACCACTGCTGCCACGCCCCCACCGGAAGTCACGTCCACCAGCTCTGAAGTCACCCGCCGGCCAGAATCTGGAGTGAATCCACTGAGGGCCACCACCAAAGCCTTAGCCTCCAACCAGGCCCGGCTGTTCACCAGTCCCAGGGATCCAGCATACCAACTACCGTCCACAATCACTGGCGCACAAGAGAGGACCCCCGGACTGGCCACTGCTCCACTGTGCTGGAGCGGAAAGTAGGCCCCAGGATGCCCCTTTCATCCTGCTGAAGGAAGGCACTGGGATGGGCTCATTACATCAGGAAAAACTGGTAGGCTACCCCCCCCCCACCTGGAGAGAGCGCAGCCCCCTTCAGAGGTTCCCTGCAGCACTTCCACCATGGAGTTAACACAAAAACTGAGGGTATGGTGGAAGAGGCAGATTTTAAAGCTTCAGGAGGCTTTCCGAGGCTCAAATCACCACTTGTCCTCTGGACCCTGTGTCCCCTCACAATTATTGTGGCCTCCTTCCTACTCTATCATAGACTAACCCACATCTTCAACCTCTCCCTCTCCAACTGACACCTTTCCCTCCCTGCTCAAATATGCACTGGTTACCCCTATACTTTAAAAACCCTTGCTGGACCCCAACTGATTGAATAGCTTAAGACCCACCTCCCTGCTTCCATTTGCTTCCAAGAATCTTGAGTGCCTTGTCCACAGCCGTATGCTTGTCAGCTCAGTGACAAGCACCTTCTCGATCCCCTACAGTCTGGCTTCCGCCCACAACATTCCACTGAAACTGCCCTACTAAAACTCACTAACGACCTACTAACTGCTAAAACCAAATGGTAATTACTCCATACTCACACTCTTAGACCTTTCTGCTTCCTTTGACACAGCTGACTACTCCTCCTCCTCAGTAAACACCACCACTTGGCCTCCATGACCATTCTCAGCACACTTTCAGCATCACATACAGCACCAACTCCTCTGCTCCTCTTCCTGGCTCCCATGGCTTCCAATACCATCTCTACACTGACAACACTCAGATCTCTCTCTCCACTCCCCAGCTCACCCCCTCAATCTCACAAATCAAAAATATATCACAAATCTACTGAGCGACATGTAATGGATGTCACACTATTTCCTCAAACTCAATCTTTTTAAATCCGAGCTTGTAAAATTTCCTCCTCCACAATCCCCCATTCATGATTTTACCATTAAGATCAACAGCACATCCATTGGTCCCTCCCCACATGCCAGGGTGCTAGGCGTAATCCTAGACTCTGACCTCTTCTTCGAGCCTCACATCCAATCACTGGCTAAATCCTGTTGGCCTCTACCTCCGCAACATTTCCAGAATTCGCCCCTTCCTAACAGCCCCACAAAACAACTTAACACCTTGGTTATATCCCCCTTGATTACTGCAATTCCCTCCTCACTGGTCTACCATTACACAGGCTACCCTCTCTTCAGTCTATTATGAATACTGCTGCTAGACTTATACACCTTACCAATCAATCAGCGACTGCTGCCCCTCTCTGCCAATCCCGTAATTGGCTTCCAGTAGCCCAACATATAAAATTCAAAATACTAACATCGATGTACAAAGCCATCCACAACACTACCCCTAGCTACACCACCAACCTCATCCGCAGATACTGTCCAAATCGTCTGCGCCTTCCGAACACATCTTGCTTTCCAGTTCCCTTGCCACCTCTTCCCATGCCTGCCTCCAGGACTTCTCCAGAACCTCTCCCATCCTCTGAAACTTCCTACCCCAGTATGTCCAGTAAGCCCCCACCCTGCCTGCCTTTAGGCGATCTTTGAAAATTCACTTATTCAGAAAAACCTACCAAGCCTCCACATATGAACTGTACTTGAATCACCTCCACAAGATCACCCCCTGTAGCTATCACCTTTTATATCACATCCCCTTACTTTAGATTGTAAGCTCCACGAGCAGGGCCCTCCTATTCCTTCTGTACTGAAATGTATTGGAAATGTACTGCCCTCCTATATATTGCAAAGCACTGCGTAAACTGTTGAAGCTATATAAACCCTGTATAATAATAATAAAGCTGCTGGGGTGTTTCCTAGATTGAGGGTGGAGCTACGCTCATTCCAGATGCTGTCCTGAAAGGCGATGGGGGGGGGGGGGGGGGACCATTTGCAGTAGCCACTCCCTGCCAGTCCCTTACACAGCAAGGGTTAAAAGCACGTTACGTTTAGGGGGTTACAGAAGAGGATGTAGTACTCACCTGACTCCCCACTCCAGCAGACTAGAATACTGTCCTCTCCAGAGACCGGTCTGTTGGTGTCATCATGTACAGTATAGGGCTATTAATTTTATATTGCACATGGTTGAGGTAAAAGTGCGACCGCAACTGGGAGAGGCTTACAGGCTGTGGGAGTCCGGTCGTATGGATCGAGAGAGTCTGCTGGAGTGAGGAAAAAGGAAAACAATAGAGCCTCTTTAGAAACCCCATAGACTTAGCCCTGGTTCACACTGATGCAATCTCTGATGCATTCCAGAAGCATGGCAAGTGAAAGAACATGAGATTTGGAAAAATGGCCTTGTGCAAGCTTAGTGCAGTGAGATTTGTAGCTCCATAGACTTGAATGGAAACTGCATCTGTGGACTCCAGGAGATTGCAGTACCAACTTGCACTGTAGCTGCTCCTAAAATCACATTGCAAAACCGATTAAACTTGCAAAGTGTCAGCATGAACCTAGGCTAAAGTGTTACTAAACCCAGGACCCTGCATTCACTATGTCTGGTCTCCCACAGTACACAGAACATGGAAATGCAATTATTTTAGTAAATATAAACTGCTTAAATACCTTTTCTCATCAGCAGTATATAGCAGTCTTGTGATTTGTATCAGAAAAAGACAGGAAGGTACTGCATTAGAGCCTTGCTTCCACCCTAAGAGCTGCCTCAGTGTTACTGCTCCCATCCATCCATCCATGATATCCATCTGGCAGGCACCTTTATCCTACAGCTACAGAGGGTTGGGCTCCAACAAGCGCGCCCTATATAGTAATTTTGTGATTTCTATCAGTGTCCAGCAGAGCACTGGTTACAGCTTGTAGGAGTTTCCTCTAGGAGGATGTAGAACCTCTGACCTCTGTTTGGGCAGTGCTGATTGGCCCTGTGCTGATCATATGCACACTCCCAAGAAAAAAACACTCTCTACCAATACACACCAAACTGAGCATGTGCAGTGTCTCCACACCATATGTCTTATTAGGAGATAAAGGGGGCTACTGGAAAGAGGTAAGGAACAGAGGAGTGAGGATCAAATAGCATTTTAAACAATGCAGAGGATTAACCCCTTAGGTTCCACAGTGAGTATAACAAGCATGCTTTACTGCATATACAGACTGATTTTACTGTTGTGGGTTTAGTAACACTTTAAAGAGGATGTAACCCTTGTATTGGGGGGAGGGAGGTTTGGGAGGGGTGCTGCAAGGGTTTTTTTTTATTTTTTGCTGAGCCCAGAATTGGGCTTTAAAAACATAATTGAAAGCATTTACGTGTATCTGGTCAATAAATGCAAAAACAAAATAAATTGTTGAACCTGCCAGAAGTGTGGTGCTATCCTATTCACCCTGCAGTGTTATCTCAAGTAGAATGTTCAACGTTGCCTAGTTGTCGCCGTGAACTAAAGCACACCTCCTCCCCGTGTTAAGTAAATGAGCAGACGGAGAGGCGTTTTGTACTACTGTGAAAGAGTGTGGTCACCCTAGAACAGGAAGTGAAATTATGGAAAAGAAAGTCTGAAAAAAAAAACAAAAAAAAAACAAATGCAACCACCACATCTAAAGACTGTTAAACTGCAATATATTGTATTTTTTGTTTTGAAAATCTTTGATTCATGCATTTAAAGAGCCTTCTCATCTCTTCATTCTTTCATCCCATAACAGAGACTAAAGTGATGAGACCCTCTCCTCCATTATACAAGATTCAGGTAACAGACATTAATAAAAAAAAAATAAGTTTCAAAATTACCGTCATCTGGATCTTGGGCTGTAAAGCTCTTTCCTTCGATATGTTGAAGAATCTTATCAAGAATATCAGCACACTGCAATCCATTACCTAACAGACAGAGTTACTGTATTGCATCATTTATAATCCATTTACTGTATTCCATCAATTTAAGTGCGCATTGTTTCTTTAGTGCAACTAAAGGTTCCGCTCTGTATTATTAACTAGAATCTTTGCACATTATATATGAATACTTCATATTGACCACAGCAGCAGCAGGGAGGCAAGCTCCATAGCACTTGTTGCACCTCTTTTTTCCCTCTGTGTTGTAAAATATCCCAAAATAGTAAGTGAATTCATATTACAAAGGCTGACCAAACCAATGCTGGTAAAGTTCTTCTCTACCAGCACAGAAGAGCCCCTTTTGATTGGCCAGTTTACACAGGGTAACAGCAACCATGCAAGCAGTGCCTAACTATTCTAGAAAATCCTAGTAAGCTTTAGCATTATAAATACAACCTGTATTAATATTTTCAAAGTAAAGGTTGTACAAAAATAATTTGAGCAGTAATAGTAATTGTATAATAGTATAAACATTAAAAAAAAAAGATCAAAACCTATTAAACGCTTCCTTTTATGCTACAGGATCAGTATGTTCATATGTTGCTAACACAATTTAAGACCAAAAAGGACTAAGCTAGTTTACAGGACAGAAGACAAGACAAAGCAAAACAATGTGTGTACTCACGAGACTTTGAAAAAGTCCCAATGAAGTGGCTGAATGTTCCAAGACTCGGCTCTAGAAAAGTAAAAAGGCGATATCAAAGTCTACATCTACTCAAAATATTATCACTAGATGGGCTGTAATGAGCAGGCAAAATCTATAACGTATGTACAACTTTTTTTTTTTTTTTTTAAATAGGGCTGTAAATAATCAGATCAATAGCCCACCAACTCCCAGAAGAGGTGTAACATAGGCAGTCATTCATTCCTGTGATTATAGGCTTAAGCTGGGTATACACAGACCAAAAAATCAGCTGAAAACAGTAAATTCAGCAGGAACTGACCGACTTTCAGCCAGTTTGTACAGCTCCTCGTTCAGCAGAAGCCAGTCACACGACCAACATCTGTTGAACGAGTATGCTGGAAAACTAGCATCTGATCAGCATCCAATTGGCGCTGGCATATAAAGGATGTCTGCACTGATCCAATGGCTGTGAGCACTGTCCTGGCGGAAGGGCGGCCCCCACGTCAGTATGCAAAAGCTGTGCGTGAAGATAGCCGCACTAACATCAGATGTATTAGTACAGTGATCTATACATTTTTTTTTCAGTTCAGACTGCTGGGTTGAATGAAAATAAACTTCCCATGTACACGCAGCGTAAGTTTATGCTGATCATGTATCTTGTTACACCCATATATAGGGTGTAACACGAAACATGGTTGCATTTTCTCCCCACCCTCAAACTGTCTCCTCGGTACCAGAATTGCAGGTTGCTTCTTCCTCAGGGGCGGACTGACAACTTCTGGGGCCCCCGGGCAATAGGGATCATGGGGCCCGTGTCCTTGCCCAAACTCAAAAAAGCCTATGAAAAAGGTACCAGTACCATGGAGCCCCTACTGACCCCGGGCCCTCGGGCAGTGCCCGAGTTTCCAAATGGTCAGTCCACCCCTGTTCTTCCTGCATACATCTGTTAAGTTTTGATTTGAGCATGTCTGTGGATGGTTTTGCCCTGATGCACTGATTTTTGCTGCAATGATCTACAAGCTTCAAAACAAAAAAATGTGATAAACACACATTTATTTTATTAATGTGTGAGCATTTATTACATTTGAAATATCTGGAAAAAAAAAGAATATGTCACTTGAATGGATTTATAGCTAAAAGAATATCTAAAAAAAAAATGTGCCGAGGATGTTGAATTTTAATTACAATACATTTCAATTTCAGTTTCAATGCATCAATCTGTTCTAACTGCAGACAACCACTGAAGAAACTCAGATACGCAATAATGACCACATGCCAATAACAGCCTATGTATTAAATTCTCAGCACTAGTTTTCATGTCTCACCAATATTCAGGGCTTTCATCTCCATGAGTATTGGAAATGCAATTCTTACTAGGCCAGTCTTCTTCAAGCTTTTTAGGACGGAGTTGAAGGTGTGTAAATTTGGCTGAACCTTTTGCTGAGTCATCTGATTAAGCAGGTCCTACAAAAAAAGAAAATATTAAACATTAAATATTAAATTATATCACTGCTGTGAGCAAAATATTAAATATTAAACATTAAATATTAAATTATATCACTGCTGTGAGCAAAATATTAAATATTAAACATTAAATATTAAATTATATCACTGCTGTGAGCAAGAAACACTAACTTTCAGCTCCACTGTACCTGGTTTTTAAGTAGTGTTTACCAACCAGCAAACATATTGAAAACACATTTAAAACACAAAACTATATTCTTGTATTAATTAGAATGATATAACTACATACATTTATACAGCAATTTCAGGCACAAAGTGAAAGCCTTTAGTGAGCTGTGTCGGAACTATTCGGTGCTTACAGAATTAACTGGAAAGCCTGCAATTATCTCTACATAATGTAACATGGGCATGCTGGAAGCCATTTTGTTCTTTATATTCTATTTTCATGGTTTCTGAACAAAGATTCGAACAACAGACATATACTCATACTCTAGGGGGTGAAGTGGGTGGGTCGGGGGGTATTGGGGGGTTATTATGATGGTACCAGACAGCCTAAGGGATAAAAGGCTGGCCAGGATACCAATTCTCAAGATTAACTGAGGTGTCCATGTAAGAAAAGGAGGACCGGTCTTAATGAAGGAGCTATTGCACATGCTCCAAAACACGTCACCACCCACCACTGACATCACTTCTGGGACGTGCGTTCTATTCAGACGGCGTGTGCTCGACGGCGGCCCAGGAAAAGCGGCGACCTTCTTGGAGTTGCACCTGAGCTCCCCCTGCTGCTGCTGGACGGCACAGCGAGTGCCAGGAAACAGTGACAGGAGCCCTGCATTGACGTTGTCTGACTCTTATCATCATTTGTGGTTCTAACCATTTTTACCAATAAACATGTGGATGTACTGCACTTAGAAACACCCTCTTTCTCTTCTGTTCTGCCCAGAATCTGCTTCTACTCATGGAAGTGCTGCTCTAGTGCCTATTCCCACTGTCTCCCGCCTCTGGTCTCCAAGGCAGATGCGCCTTAAGAACTCCTCTTCTCTTCTGGTAACATTGTATATGGTGTTGTTATTATTTTAATCAAAAATGTCAATTGTATTATTATTCTTGCATGAAGTGAATACTTGCCTAATTGAATATAATAATACAAAACCAAAATGACTATCTCTTATATATGTATATATCTATATACATATATACACACACTTTACAATTAATACATATTGGTATATTATTTTGGATATTATGTTTTCAACATTTTAAATAATTATTTTGAGTTTATTATATTACTACATCTGTATGCTACAGAAGAAGTTAGATAATTAAGAAATCTCAGTACAAATGACCACAGCAAATGTCTGTAAGATGTAGAGATAGCATTTTTTTTCATAATCAATTAATACATTATTATAGTGACACTGGTCCCATTTTGTCTAACCAGTCCTGTCAAAAGAGCAACTGTCTCTTAAGTTTATTGCATTCAAACAAACAGAAGGGAAGGTTAGAGGTCAACTCTTGACATGGCACAGGAGTTTTTAAGAAAAATCCAAAATGATTCCTTATCCTATACTGCCCCCTTCAGATAATTAGAATCATTGAGTGACATCATAATTAGGTGAGATAAGCTGTGCCCGCCAAGGTTTTTTGCGATTATAAAAGTTAGAAGATGGAGGGGACACAGAGGACAACAGACAGAGACATCCACAGACACAAACACAGAAGTCACTGATACCATAGATTCTATAATCGGTAACGTAAATGTTTATTTTTCTGCAGGCAATTTATGCTCATCTAATATGTCCAGCTAAACCATTTAGTCTGATTTAAGTTATGGTTAGCACCGGAGTTGATTTGAAATAATTTTAACTGCAGCATAAATTATCTTCATTTCAATTCTCTGGGGGGGAGGACTTTCTCTGGAATATCCCGAAGCTAATTTCAGCTTCTAGTCAATGGTTTAGTTGGGTATATATGACAAAAAAAGACAACTTAGTGAACATCTGTTCTTGACCTCAGATAGGTTCTAAGTTTATTGGATTGTCCAGTGTATGGTATTCTAAATCAGTTCATGTCAAGGTACACTTTGAGCTTTGAATATTTGGTTGTAGAGAGATCACGTGGTCAATTTGCATAGCTGTTGTCATATGCAGCTGAGTTACTGAGCGTTTCATACGCTATCATTTTTAGACAGTTGGTTCGCTTTCATTAATATTGGATAATATTTGCTGATTGGAATTTGTAACCAATATATTTTGATTAGATAATTGTGTGACGATCGTGGTGTCAGACCCCTGCCCTTCTCACCAAACTCGTGACCAAAGGACTAGCCAATCTAAAACCGCGATGTCACGTGTGTAACAATGCCACGCCCAGCTGCACACAGATTTTCCAACTAATGGACCACAGTCTGTGTATCGGCAGCCTGGAAGCAATTGTTACTGGGTCAGGTTAATTACGCAATTAACCCTTCACACTGCCACCACCTCTTTTTGTACAGAGAAAGAGGAAACTCGGCAATATCAGCAATAACACTATGATGGTTGAAATAATCGATTTGATTATTATTGATTATCACCAATTATATTCTAATTACAATTTTGCGCTGATTTTTATTATTATTAAATCTATTTATTTTTGTACATTATTGCTTTTTATTTCGTCTTCAAATTAGCACAAATAAAGAAATCAGTTGATTTATGAAAATTAGTAGGAAATCTCATTAAGTCCAGATCCCCGCCTGTTTTCATAAATTACAGTACCTCACAAAAGTGAGTACACCCCTCACATTTTTGTAAATATTTTATTATATCTTTTCATGTGACAACACTGAAGAAACGACACTTTGCTACAATGTAAAGTAGTGGGTATACAGCTTGTATAACAGTGTAAATTTTGATGTCCCCTCAAAATAACTCAACACACAGCCATTAATGTCTAAACCGCTGGCAACAAAAGTAGGTACACCCCTAAGTGAAAATGTCCAAATTGGGCCCAATTAGCCATTTTCCCTCCCGTGTCATGTGACTTGTTAGTGTTACAAGGTCTCAGGTGTGAATGGGGAGCAGGTGTGTTAAATTTGGTGTCATCACTCTCACTTTCTCATACTTGTCACTGGAAGTTCAACATGGTACCTCATGGCAAAGAACTCTCTGAGGATCTGAAAAAAAGAATTGTTGCTCTACATAAAGATGGCCTAGGCAATAAGAAGATTGCCAAGACCCTGAAACTGAGCTGCAGCATGGTGGCCAAGACCATACAGTGGTTTAACAGGACAGATTCCACTCAGAACAGGCCTCGCCATGGTCAACCAAAGGAGTTGAGTGCACGTGCTCAGCATCATATCCAGAGGTTGTCTTTGGGAAATAGATGTATAAGTGCTGCCAGCATTGCTTCAGAGGTTGAAGGGGTGGGGGGTGGGGGGGTCAGCCTGTCAGTGCTCAGACCATACGCCGCACACTGCAACAAATTGGTCTGCATGGCTGTCGTACCAGAAAGAAGCCACTTCTAAAGATGATGCACAAGAACGCCCACAAACAGTTTGCTGAAGACAAGCAGATTAAGGACATTTTACTGGAACCATGTCCTATGGTCTGATGAGAACAAGATAAACTTATTTGGTTCAGATGGTGTCAAGCGTGTGTGGCGGCAACCAAGTGAGGAGTACAAAGACAAGTGTGTCTTACCTACAATCAAGCATGGTGGTGGGAGTGTCATGGACTGGGGCTGCATGAGTGCTGCCAGCACTGGGGAGCTACAGTTCATTGAGGGAACCATGAATGCCAACATGTACTGTGACATACACAGTACATAATCCCCTCCCTTTGGAGACCGGGCTGCAGGGCAGTATTCCAACAAGATAATAATGATGATCTGGTGAACTCAATGTCCAAGAGGGTTAAGGCAGTGCTGGAAAATAATGGTGGCCACACAAACTATAAACACTGTGAGCCCAATTTGGACATTTTCACTTAGGGGTGTACTCACTTTTGTTGCCAGCGGTTTAGACATTAATGGCTGTGTTGAGTCGTTTTGAGGACACAGCTAATTTACACTGTTATACAAGCTGTACACTCACTACGTCACATTGTAGCAAAGTGTAATTTCTTCAGTGTTGTCACATAAAATGATATAATAAAATATTTACAAAAATGTGAGTGGTGGACTCACTTCTGGGAGATGCTGTATATACTGATCATGTTTTTCAGAACTGTAGTTCTGACAGCTACAAATGCTCACTAAAGCAAATTTTGACCTGCCTGTACATTCCATATTCTGGAAATATAGGACACAGGTTGAGTATACATAGACCCTCAGACATTCCCAAGCAATGAATGAGAAGGTTGGGCAACAATTGGTCAAAAAGAGATATGGAAACAGGCCTAACAGCAACAAAGGTGAACAGATCCAACTTCAGAGTGGTTGCTGCAAGCACCTTGCAACTAATAGCTTCATTTGCAGAGGACTTGATGCCCACCCAGTGAAAACTTTGTAAAAGCATGCACAGAGGACCAGATGGCAAGAGCCATCGGCTTCATGCCCAATTGCTCAGGAAACATGCACATACCTGTTCAAGAGAATGCTTACAAAAGCAAGAGGAGTTTTGTCCTTTGGACTGCAAGCTCTGGCGAAGAGTTGTCTTTTCCATCTAACTATGTTAGACCTTAAAGCAGGGTGTCCTTTGCAAGGTCCTGAGAATAGGAAGTCCGTGTTCCTGATGGAAGGCATTGCTTTGAGGAAGGTTGTGTTGGTTTGGACTATGTCTAGGCAGAAAAGAGCTTTGGAGTAGGGCATAAAGATGGAAGAACTAAGTCTTCATTGAGGTGGGAGACTGACACCACCTTAGGAAGAAAATATGGTCTTGGACCTTGGTCTTTGTGAAGGATGAGCTCCTTACAGGAGAGCCACTAGTTTAGAGATACATCTGACAGAAATGATGCAAAGTGGCCTTCTTGGTTGCGATCATCTAAGGAGATTTCCTTGATAGACTCAGAGAGTGGTTTCTGCAGGGCAGAGAGTACCAAACTGAGTTCCAAGGAGACACAGAATTTAGACAAGGGAGATCGAGGCCAGAGGTTTTTGAAAAAGAACAGACCAATGGTCCAAAACCTGTGTCTTTTCAGAGTGTTTTAAGTGTAAGTTCACCTTTTCAGAAAAGATGAAAAGGTAAACCAACATCCTACATCTTCCCTACCCCCCCCCGTACCTGGTGGTACATCCTTCCAGGAGGGATCAGAGCTGCCCCGACTGATTGAAGCAGTCACGTGCCAGCGCTGACCAAATGAATCGCTCTGACCCGTCTTGGAAGTCCTACATAAAAAAGGGGAAGAGCGGGGACTTCAAATGCCGGACCACTACACCAGTTGCATGGACACCGACACCTCATCACACACAAATACTGAATGGGGGCCAGAATGTGACGCACAGAGTAATCTCTATGATGAAAGTGCCTGTGTTTACACCAGACAAAAAAGAATTACTAGGTATGATGATGGATCTTTCTGGAAGTGGCTTTCCTTGCCTTCAGTAAGGAATGAGACTCAGAGATCCCTCTGTGCTTTAAGACTTGTAAAGCTAAACAGGCGTGCATGTCCCTCCGCACCACAAAAGCCACCTGCCTAAAATATAACTTTTAATTACACAATTTAAAACTATATCTAAAAGGAAAACAATTGTAAATACCTATAGGGTGAGAGAACAAACCATTGTGTCAGTTTATAGAACTAGAGAGCAATTCGTATCCATGTGGACATGTCTTATGCCTGAAATATATGCTGTTTCAATATCTGAGGATAGTGCACTATTCTCGCTTACTGCAACAATACACTACCTTTACTAAGGATCTCAAAGGATGAAAATTCATCTGGCTATGATATGTAATGCGGGTACACCCATCCATGTGGATATAAAACACCACGAATGGACAGGCCCCATATTCCACATATCAACAAAATGCCTCTCTAGGGATGATCACATCTGTATCCCAATAAACATGAGTATTCCTCCACCCCAAAAAGTCAAGGTAGAAAAGAAATTGCATGTTATCCAAAAAGAAAAAAAAAAGGAAAATGCGCTCCCAAATTAACAACAACCTCCAGAACTCCTTCAAATTGGAGCTTCTTCAGAGGTGAATAAAGTAAACTCAAATAGTGAGCAGAAAGAAAGGGTGCAGTCACATGGCAAATGGAATTATTGTTGCAGTGAGAAAAAATAGTACACTATCCTCAGATATTAAAAACAACATGCATTTCAGGCATAAGGCATGTTGTTCTCCTTTGGATATACCTTTAAATTGTGGAATTAAAAGTTATATTTTAGTCAGGTGGCTTTTGTTATGCAGAGGGAACCCCCCCCCCCCCCCCCCCCCCATTTACCTTGATTTGTAATTGCACCATAGGACTTTATGTTTTTGTATATTCTAGGCTATTCTTTTTTTTTGGTTACCTTTAAGACCTGGACTTAATAGCCAAAGCTGTTACAGTCAGTGACTGAGAAGCAGGAAAAAATATAATGCCCTGAGACAGCAAAGTATGGCATGTTAGAAAGAGACCAGGGGTTGTCTCCTGGAAGTCTGTATATGTCTGTTTTGTTCTAGACCAGTTAGTGCAATGATAATCACTTGTCTTCTTTTTCGGGGGGGATCAGGCAAGGTAGAATTTGCACTGCAGGGAAGGTATAGATTAGCCTCAACTGAAACCATGGAATTATCAAGGCATCCAAAGCAAGTGCAAGAGGATCCTTGGTCCTAGCCACAAACAGTGATAGCGTGTTGTTGAATCTGGGTGCCAGGATATCCATATCTGGGGTCCCTCCATCTCTGACATATCAGGTTGTAGAAGTCAGGGGGAAAGGCTCACTCCCCTTGGTTCAGGCAGTGGTAGCTAAGGTAATCTGCCTTCAAGTTGTCCACTCCACTAAGATGTGCACAGCAGGGATCACTGAACAGTGTTTTTCTGTCCATGAGATGATCTGGCTTTTTTCCTTCAAGGATGCATGACTCCTAGTGGTTGATCTAGGCCACAGCTATGGCGTTGTCTGACTGCACCCTTATTGGGTGCCCTTGCACAAGGGTGATGTTAGGGGTCCAGTGTTGCAGAGCCATCCTTATTGCTCTAAGCTTCAGGACTGGTGACCATGTTCCCTGAACTGTGAGGGACTGAAAACCTTTTTCCCAGCCAGATACACTGGGATCTGTCATTATTACTTTCCAGTGAAAAGGAATTAAAAGTTTCCCTATTGTTAAGGTTGGGATGGAGATCCACCAAGCTAGGGAATTCCCTGCTTGGCTGGACAGGAGCATGAGTAGGTAGAGGGAAAGAGCACCTTTGTTCCATGCCAGATGTATCGGAGAAGTCTCAAACAAAACTGGGTGAATGGAACAGCCTTGAAGGCTACCATCGGATCTCGAACTCTCAAGCATATCTTTTACATCAAGTCCTGAGTGTGAGTTCTTAGAGAAAGCGGTTTCTTCTCTGGAAGGAATACCTTTGCTTGGAATGTGTTTAGGATCAGACCCAGGTATTCCAAATGAAGAGAAGGTGAGAGAGCAGATTTTTGGAAGTTGATACCCCAACTGAAAACCTGAAGCATTGGAATCATCCTGTGGATGTTTGCAGATAGCTGGAAGGGCGAGGAAGGAGAAGTTTGTCTAGATAACCTGTGACTTGAATGCCATGAGTTCTGAGAAGAACAGGAAGGGGTGCAAGGATCTTTGTGAACACTCTGGGAGCAAAGGATAGGCCAAATAGCAGTGCAGTAAACTAGAAGTGATGGTCTCCTACTGCAAAAGTGTAGGAAATGCAGATGACATGGATAAATTGAAATATGCAGATAGGCATCCTGTAAGCTTATGAATGCAAAGTATTCACCCCCCCCCCATCTCAGGGAGGCAATAACTGACCTTGTGTGGATTCCATGCAAAATTCTGGAATCTGAAGGTATTTGTTGAGAGATTTTAGGTACAGGATGAGGGTACTGCACAACTACCTCCTTGGACAAGAAATGGTTCATGTCATTCTGCAAATCTGACTGTCTTTGGGCAGATTTTGGTTGATTTGAGAGAAGAAACCACAAGTCTGGGACATCTGTGACTATAACAGATGTGCCTCCACTCTTTAGAAGTGGGGGTGCCCCTTTATTAGAAACTATGAAAGACGTGGTGGAATCTGTGGGCCAAATCTCATGCTGAAAGAAAGGGCAGAATTTTAGAAGGTTTAGAAGTTGAAGCCTGGGTAGAGAGTTGAGGTGGTCTGCGTTTTGAAGAGATAGAGGCTCCTGAGGAGGGAGAGTTTGGAATTTTCCCTCCTGTAACATAATTGTTTTTTTTTTATCAAGAAAGCAGAACGTTTTATTAAATAAAGACAAGAGGTTACAGACAAAAAATCTCCTGTGACATCTTCAATGAATTTTGTCAAGTGCCTCAAAGAGATGTCCTACTTCAAAGGCCATATGTGTAGGACATCCTTTACAGGCAGCTTCGGCTGACCAGGTTTTGAGCCACAAAATTGTGCCAAGGTTAGCGCCCACAGGAGCCAATGACCAAAGCTTCCATTGTTGTATTAGAAGACAATGAATAATTGATTGAAAAATCCAAAGAGAAAATAATAAAATAGTTAAAGTATCTAAGAGGGATTTCTTCGTAAGAGAGAAGAGATCTGTCACATTAGGACACAAGCAAAAAATTCAAGACTCATGGAGTGGGCAAAGGGAACACCAAGGGGGCATGTCCTCAAAAGCCTGCCAGTGTCCCGTCACCTAAAAGGTACTAGCCCAAGGCCTCATTCATATGTCCGGTCCGTGTGAAGGGCCATCTTCAGCCACCCAGGATGCACAAGTATTCTATGCAGGCAGCCTGTTGAAATCAATGACAGGCGGCCGGCGGCATGGACTTCCATGAGCATTCCTGGAGTGCACATCCATGCAGGTCCAACGCATGGATCAGAATGCGTCTGTCTGTGTCCTGATCCATGCAGCATACCTGCATGGCTGTGCACTCCAGGATGCTGAGGTCTGTGCAGCTGGCCACCTATCATGGATTTGAACAGGCTGCTAAGTTCAGGTTTTTTATTTTGTTTTTTGTTTTTTTAAGAGCTGCTATGCTTTTAATTTTTAAAGCAAAAAGGTGGAGTTGGGCTTTATTCTGTGAAATTCCCCCCCAAAAAAGCACACACGCTATACAGGAAGCAGGACAGTAGCTATATACATCCTAAAAATCTGTACAGTGTACCTAACTTCTCTCTTCTTCCTGCATCACCAATCACTTCCACACTCCCAAGGCAGTTGTGAATCTCATTGGTGGCTGGGCAATACTTATTACTGGACTTTATTATGTAGGATTTACTGTGTGTGATTTTTAGCAAGAAGGGTGTTCTTGCATTACTTACAACTTCTAGCATTCATTAGCACAAGTTCATAATACAATAGACCATGATTAGCATCAAGACTCAAGGCAACTTGTCTTACCAGAATCAGAGTCCACTTCTCCTGGCTGTCATTTTTAACTCTTGAAGCTGCTGTGATCAGAGCATTGAAAGTGTGTACATCTCCTGTGCAGAGAAAAATAAGATCATCTATAAAACTTTTCTCCACAAAAGAACAATAGAAAAAAAAAAAGTCTGCTTGGCTTTATAAGAGAGGGTCCAGTCACACTTGCTGCATGTAAAAACTGTCAGTTTTAGTGTGCTGGTACGTGCCCATTCTTGGGGGGGGGGGGGGGGGAGGGCAGTATCTTGTGCTTTTAAAACAGGGGTTAAAATTTTGAGCCCAGACCTACTAGCCGGTCACAAAACTTACTCTCCACCCGTTGCCCCACCTATCCTTGCCCAGGTCTACCCCCAAACCCCCCCCCCCCCCCCCCGGCCCACCCCCAACCAAGCCCCCTTAAAGCTCATGAAATTACATTTTCCTTTAGAATAAATAGTCCAAAAATAAAAACTGTACACACAGTAATGTATATCCCAGCTCCCCTGTACTCCATTATAGTGATATGACATGTATACAGTAATGTATATCCCCCTCCCCTGTACCATTATATACAGTATGTATGTATATCCCCCTCCCCTGTACTCCATTATAGTGATAGGACATGTATACAGTAATGTATATCCCCCTCCCCTGTACTCCATTATAGTGATAGGACATGTATACAGTAATGTATATCCCCCCTCCCCTGTACTCCATTATAGTACTCCATTATAATGTGATCCCCCTGACATGTATACAGTAATGTATATATATCCCCCTCCCCTGTACTTCATTATAGTGATATGACATGTACACAGTAATGTATATCCCCCCTCCCCTGTACTCCATTATAGTGATATGACATGTACACAGTAATGTATATCCCCCCTCCCCTGTACTCCATTATAGTGATATGACATGTACACAGTAATGTATATCCCCCCTCCCCTGTACCCCATTATAGTGATATGACATGTATACAGTAATGTATATCCCCCCTCCCCTGTACTCCATTATAGTGATATGACATGTATACAGTAATGTATATCCCCCCTCCCCTGTACTCCATTATAGTGATGACGTGTATACAGTAATGTATATCCCCCCTCCCCCTGTACTCCATTATAGTGATATGACGTGTATACAGTAATGTATATCCCCCCTCCCCTGTACTCCATTATAGTGATATGACATGTATACAGTAATGTATATCCCCCCTCCCCTGTACCCCATTATAGTGATAGACATGTATACAGTAATGTATATCCCAACTCCCCTGTACTCCATTATAGTGATATGACGTGTATACAGTAATGTATATCCCCCTCCCCTGTACACCATTATAGTGATATGACATGTATACAGTAATGTATATCCCCCCTCCCCTGTACTCCATTATAGTGATATGACATGTATACAGTAATGTATATCCCCCCCCCCTGTACTCCATTATAGTGATATGACATGTATACAGTAATGTATATCCCCCCTCCCCTGTACTCCATTATAGTGATATGACATGTATACAGTAATGTATATCCCCCCCTCCCCTGTACTCCATTATAGTGATATGACATGTATACAGTAATGTATATCCCCCCTCCCCTGTACCCCATTATAGTGATATGGCGTGTATACAGTAATGTATATCCCCCCTCCCCTGTACCCATTATAGGGATATGGCGTGTATACAGTAATGTATATCCCCCCTCCCCTGTACTCCATTATAGTGATATGACGTGTATACAGTAATGTATATCCCAGCTCCCCTGTACTCCATTATAGTGATGTGACATGTACACAGTAATGTATATCCCAGCTCCCCTGTACTCCATTATAGTGATATGACGTGTATACAGTAATGTATATCCCCCCTCCCCTGTACCCCATTATAGTGATATGGCGTGTATACAGTAATGTAAATTCCCAGCTCCCCTGTACTCCATTATATTGATATGACATGTACACAGTAATGTATATCCCCCCTCCCCTGTACTCCATTATAGTGATATGACATGTATACAGTAATGTATATCCCCCCTCCCCTCCCCTGTACCCCATTATAGTGATATGGCGTGTATACAGTAATGTATATCCCCCCCCTCCCCTGTACCCCATTATAGTGATATGGCGTGTATACAGTAATTATATCCCAGCTCCCCTGTACTCCATTATAGTGATATGACATGTATACAGTAATGTATATCCCCTCCCCCTGTACTCCATTATAGTGATGTGACATGTATACAGTATATGTATACAGTAATGTATATCCCCTCCCCTGTACTTCCATTATAGTGATATGACATGTATACAGTAACAGTATGTATCCCCCCTCCCCTGTACTCCATTATAGTGATATGACATGTATACAGTAATGTATATCACCCCCCCCCTGTACCCCATTATAGTGATGACATGTATACAGTAATGTATATCCCCTCCCCTGTACTCCATTATAGTGATATGACATGTACACAGTAATGTATATCCCCCCTCCCCTGTACTCCATTATAGTGATATGACATGTACACAGTAATGTATATCCCCCCTCCCCTGTACTCCATTATAGTGATATGACATGTATACAGTAATGTATATCCCCCTCCCCTGTACTCCATTATAGTGATACATGTGTACAGTAATGTATATCCCCCCTCCCCTGTACTCCATTATAGTGATATGTATAATGTATATCCCAGCTCCCCTGTACTCCATTATAGTGATATGACATGACATGTATATCAGCAAATGTAATCCCCCTCCCCTGTACTCCATTATAGTGATATGATGTATACAGTAATGTATATCCCAGCTCCCCTGTACTCCATTATAGTGATATGACATGGTATCAGTAATGTATAGTATATCCCAGCTCCCCTGTACTCCATTATAGTGATATGCCCAATCCAATCATCCGGTTACATATGGAGATAAAAAAAAGCGCAGGGCAAGGTCAGCAACTGGGCGTACGTTAATATAAAATAAGCATCCACTTACATGTACATTAGAGAGTATCAGCCACAATATGAAGAAGAGTCAACAGCTTACAGGATGCAGCATGGTGACAGGTAAAAGAATGAAAGGATTTCAAAAGCTCCTGCACATGGGTGTGCGAGACTAGAAACAGAGATATTCAGTGGAACCCAGATATATATCAAAATTCCAACGGGTAGGCCAAGCCTTACTGCTCTCGTGTACGACTTGGGGAAGTCCAGAGTCAACTGCAGAGAAAAGAAACCGAGCGCACCGGCCTAGTGCATTATCCCAGATACAAGTTTATTAAAAAAATTGATGGGATTATACTCACAAAAGAGTGAAGACAAAATTGCATAGCAAGTGACAGTCACTGAACGTATAAAGGCAAAAGAAAATTGTGCGCTGTCAAATAATGAGAATAATAATAGATGAGCTGCTGCAAACACGTGTTATACGTGTAAACATAAAAAAACAGGACTAAAACAAATGAAAAGTGCTGTGCTGCTAGCATAAATCAACACATGCAAATATACGAACAAAAACATGACTGATAGTCCCAAAAGCTGATAAAGCATAAAAATAAATGCAATTCTCAAAAAAAAAAAAAAAAAAATCCAAATGAGAAAAAAATTTCCTGCTGCAATCATCAGCAGGAAGATTTTTCACTTGTCTGGATTTTTTTGAAGAACTGCATTTATTTTTATGTTTTATCATCTTTTGGGACTATCAGTCACATTTTGTTTGTATATTTGCATGTACTGATTTACGCTAGCAGCGCAAAACACTTTTAACTTGTTTTAGTCACTGAATGTATATTGTTGGCTCTGAGGAAGAGGGTTTCCTTAAAACGCGTCAATCTCTATTTGGCCCTCGGATGTCACTTCTTTGACGTCAGGGCCTTTGGCTCTCTGTAGAATATACATTTAGTGACTATCACTTGCTATACAATTTTGTCTCTCGCTTGCGAGTATAATCTCATACATTTTTTTTAATAAACTTGTATCTGGGATAATGCGCTAGGCCGGTGCGCTGTTGTTTTATTTTCTCCACAAAAGAAGGAAAGATCCAGGATCCACAGACAGCTGTGGCAGCACAGCCTCAGCTCAAAGCTGGTATTTACAGGCAGCTAGCAAAGAAACACAAGCTGCACCCTGACTGGAGGTGGGAAGCTGAGGGAGAGAGGCACAGTGCACAGCTATACTGGGTTGTCAGCAGTGTAAGGAAAAACTGTAGCGTTTCCAGGCATCTTGCCCCTTTCTCAAGTATTAGGATAGAGGATCACTCACTTGGTACCTCTTCTATTCTTTACATTGAATACAAGATGATGAGATCCCTCACCGATGCCAACATTTTCTCTTCCCGGTACCAGGTGTTTGGCTGTCTTTATTGGGTGGTGTGGGATGACATAACTCCCAAGCATGTGCAGGAATTCCTTCATGCTGGCACCAAGGCACTGTGCCAAGAATGCATCCTAAGCTGCGCATGCACAGTTCAGGGATCATTCTAAGGAAGGCTGTGAACAGGCAGGTAAGTTTGTTTTACTGCAGAAGAAAGACTTTCCTCTAAATACTTTGACTTGTGCCTACCAAAAATCATTTGACTTTATCATTTGAGCTTGACTTTAGTATGCCTAATGCTCTGTAATTAGGAACTGTATTACTAATACAAAGATGCACAACAGCTGCAGTTCTAGTTATATTCGTGCTTATTTTTGTCTTCCAACTGCTGTGCAGACTCACCTGTTAGCCTGTTATTGAGAAGGTCTGTGTACATGTCAAATGCCTTGCTGGAAGCTCCATGCTGAAAAGACGAAAAAAAAAAAATGGTTAAAAAGAGAGTGAAAATTGTTTGTATATTCAAAGGCGCGTAAACATGCTTATGCGTATACACACATCCAGTTCTCCTTCATCCACAGACCTTAATGGCTGTGTGTTGAGATATTTTGAGGAGACAGCAAATTTACATTGTTATACAGGCTGTACACCCACTACTTTACATTGTAGCAAACTGTCATTTCTTCAGTGTTGTCACATACATACATATATACATACACACACATTATATGTATAAACACACACATTATTTATATATAATTTTTTTTTTGTATAATTTATGTGTATGTGAGCATTTATCCATTATTGTTGTCACGATATTATTTTAGAAGGGATTTTATGTATTAATTGTTTTTTATACACTGTATAAGCTGAGCGCTTCATCACAATATATATTTTTTGTTATTTGCACATATCCTATGGTATAGGGAAAAGGTGATAGCAGCTGGCTTTGATTAAAGATTCCGTGGAGCACAGGAGGACCTTTTCTATATTTGCTTTGAGTCATTGTCCATCTGCACTGTGAAGTGGCGTCCAATGAGCTCTGAAGCATTTGGCTGAATATGAGCAGATAATATTGCCGGAAACACTTCAGAATTCATCCTGCTGCTTTTATCTGCAGTCACATCATCAATACATACAAGAGAAGCAGTTCCATTGGCAGCCATACATGCCCACGCCATGACACTACCACCACCATGCTTCACTGATGAGGTGGTATGCTTAGGATCATGAACAGTTCCTTTCCTTCTCCATACTCTTCTCTTCCCATCACTCTGGTACAAGTTGATCTTGGTCTCATCTGTCCATAGGATGTTGTTCCAGAACTGTGAAGGCTTTTTTAGATGTCATTTGGCAAACTCTAATCTGGCCTTCCTGTTTTTGAGGCTCACCAATGGTTTACATCTTGTGGTGAACCCTCTGTATTCACTCTGGTGAAGTCTTCTCTTGATTGTTGACTTCGACACACATACACCTACCTCCTGGAGAGTGTTCTTGATCTGGCCAACTGTTGTGAAGGGTGTTTTCTTCACCAGGGAAAGAATTCTTCGGTCATCCACCACAGTTGTTTTCCGTGGTCTTCTGGGTCTTTTGGTGTTGCTGAGCTCACCGGTGCGTTCCTTCTTTTTAAGAATGTTCCAGACAGTTGTTTTGGCCACGTCTAATGTTTTTGCTATCTCTCTGATGGGTTTGTTTTGTTTTTTCAGCCTAATGATGGCTTGCTTCACTGATAGTGACAGCTCTTTGGATCTCATCTCAGAGTTGACAGCAACAGATTCCAAATACAAATAGCACACTTGAAATGAACTCTGGACCTTTTATCTGCTCGTTGTAATTGGGATAATGAGGGAATAACACACACCTGGCCATGGAACAGCTGAGAAGCCAATTGTCCCATTACTTTTGGTCCCTTAACAAGTGGGAGAAACATATGCAAACTGTTGTAATTCCTACACCGTTCACCTGATTAGGATGTAAATACCCTCAAATTAAAGCTGACAATTAAAGCTGACAGTCTGCAGGTAAAGCACATCTTGTTCGTTTCATTTCAAATCCATTGTAGTTGTGTATAGAGCAAAATATGTTAGAATTGTGTCGATGTCCCAATATTTATGGACCTGACTGTACATACACACACATACATTATATATATATATATACACACACACACACACACATACATTATAAAACACACACAATCCCCTAAGGCATTGTTTCTCAAATTTTTTTCAGTCAAGACACCCTTTAAAATATAGACAGTTTCAAGGCACGCATACTAAAATGTAAAAAACTATACTAATAGTTTTATGTAATGCAGCAACATCCACACATGTAGGACAGCCAATGGTAGAGGGATTTATTCTTCCAAAGCAAATACACTTATGCACACTGATACTGAATAGTATTCCAATGTTTTCCCTCAGTTTATCACTCAGCTAATGTGACCCCTTACTAACAGAGAGGAGCAGGGAAGGGTCAAACAAGGATGCCGTGCATGCGACCGATATCCTCCTTATCAACTGATGGTGTCATTGGTTGTTAGGACGCAGGCAGCTAGAAGGTTGTAATGGTGCACAGTTAAAACTATGGCTTTATGTAACTAAAAGGCAGGCTTGATCCATCTGTTGGCTTGTTGGTAATTTTTAGGCATTTTGTCAAAGCACCCCTGAAGAAACTTCAGGGCACCCTGGTTGAAAAAGGCTGCCCTAAGGGATTGAACTCAGATTTAAATCTGAATTTGTTCTCTTGATTTTAAAACAACCTTTGTTTTATGTTATATTGGATTATTATCGTTGTTATGCTTATAATGTTAGTATTTTTCTTGTGAGATGGTCTGAATAGTATATACATTTTTTTTAAAAAGAGGTATCTGCTTTTGCACCTTTCGTTTGTGATGTGGAAATCATCTGCACCTGACAGTCCTTCGTTCTAGTTATTTTCATATCGTTTAGAGAAATCTGATAAACTTGCTTTCAATGAACTGATTGATTCCAGTTTTTGAATTGTTATCAATAGATTCATGTTTATTCATGCAGTTGGATGTGTTCTGATCTGGAGCAAAGCACTAGCAACATAGTCCAAAACTGTTGAACAATGAACTTATTTTGCTGTGTTTTTGGCATGTTATTACTTTTTTATATTAAAAATTGTGCAGCAATCATTTCTCACACACACAGTTAGGTCCATTTATATATTTGTTCAATCTGAGTTTATTGAGGTTTCCATTAAAACATATGATAATAGGAAATACAGATACATTGAGAGAAGGTATATGAAGGTAGGGTATCAGAAACCGATCCTTGCACATCAGCAATCAAAAGTATTAATATGACACATATATGTTACATTCATCCGAATTGGTGAAATATGACAAAGATGTATAACAGCCAGACATGAGAAATAATCAAAGCATAAACAAGACCATAGCCCCTAGGCTCCATGGCCCTAGAGACAAGAGTCGTATGGCGTGGGGACACATTTCAAGAGTATAACCAAGAGGGACACAAACACTGGAGGAAATGGTCATCTGATAAAAGGTATACCGAAAAAGAAAGAAAAGAAAAAAAGGAGGTAAAGAGCAGAGGAGGAAAAAGAAAGAAACAAGAATGGCACACCCGCTCCCACCAAGGCTACACCAGGGAGGGGTCGGCACCACCTGCAACCCAGGAGTGAAATCCGGAAGAGTAGCGGAACATGGTCCAAGGGGTCCAGGTAGAAGAGAACAGATCTGTTCTCACCAATTCCCGCACCAAAATGCGTTCAAAGTCATGCATAGAGTTAACCCATTCCTCTAGGGAGGGCACAGTAGTGGACTTCCAGTGGCGAGGAATAACTGCTATGGCTGCGGCCATATGGTGTCTCAAGATATCCCATTTCACAGATTTTATAGATCCAGGCAGTATGGAAAGAAGGGCTAGCTTTAAAGACGGGAGAACAGACGTTGTCATCATTTTACAATACAAGTCAAAAATAGATTGCCAGAATTTCCGGATAGGTGGACAGGACCACCAGATGTGTAACAGAGTACCTTGCAAGCGTTGGCAACGCCAGCAAGTGTCGGGGACTGAGAGGATGAAGCAACAGGCATCTGTACCATCTAGTTATCAACTTGAAACTTTTTTCCTGAGTTTTGGAAGCTGGGGATATCGTGTAGGTCAAAATGAAGCATTTTTGCCAATCCATAGGGGAAATAGTAAGTTGCAAATCCACCTCCCAGGCATGGGTATAAGGAGGAAGATAGGGGGATGATGATGCGCAAAGAAGGATCAAGTATAATTGGGAAACTACATGGATGGGAAGCTGAGACTGGAGCTGGAGTAGTTCAAAGGTAGTTGGTGAAACAAGAGAGTCGGAGACAGAGGAAAAAGAACGAACATAGCACACTACCTATTGTCGCTGCAACCAGAGGAATGAGGGTGGGAGGAAGGACGCAGTGGCGGTCGTCGAGCGCAAGGAAAAGTCAGAGCAAAGGACTTGGGCCAATCTCCTGTGATCTTGGTTATTTCAAATTCCAAAGGTGGGGGCAGAGAGAGCTGGGGGGAAAGCTGGGGTCCCAAAGAACGTGATCATGGGCCCCACATATTTAGAGAGGCAGTAAGTAGACATTCCGCACTCCCATACACGAAGAACATGTTTAGTGACACTAAGAGTGGAACCTAAGAGTGGAAAGGTTGGAACGGATAAACGTGGAATCCAGAGCAATGCTTGGAGATCAATAGGGCACATGGGTTGTTCTAATTGGACCCAAAGCTTAGAGGAGCGGTTATGAAACCAATCAAGGATTCGAACAAGAATGGCTGCTTAGTGCCATTTATATATTTGGACACAGGCACAATTCTAGTTTTTTTTTAGGTATTTACCAAAACATATTCAAGCTATAGTTATATAATGGATATACAGTTGCAAGAAAAAGTATGTGAACCCTTTGGGATTATGTGGAGTTTTGCATGAATTGGTCATAAAATGTGCTCTGAACATCATCTAAGTCACAAGAATAGAATAACACAGTCTGCTGAACATAATACTACACAAACAGATGTTGCCATGGTTTAATTGCACATAACATGTAAACATTCACAGTGCAAGGAGGAAAAAGTATGTGAGGCCCTAGCTTAATGACTTCTCCCAGAGCTAATTGGAGCCAGGAGTGAGCCAACCTTGACGCCAATCAGTGTGATGATATTGGATGTGTTGCTGACAGCTGTCCTGCCCTTAAAAAAAAAAAAAAAAACCCACACACACCTGTTTTGGGTTTACTGGTTTCAGGAAGCACTGTCTGATGTGAACCATGCCTCGCAGAAAAGAGCTCTCCGAAGACTACGATCAAGAATTGTTGACTTGCATGAAGCTGGAAAGGGTTACAAAAGTATCTCCAAAAGCCTTGATGTTCATGTGCCCATGGTAAGACAGACTGTCTACAAATGGAGAAAGTTTAGCACTGTTGCTACTCTCCCTAGGTGTGGTCGT